GGAGGTAACCAGGAGAGAAGGGGCTGAGCCCCCCGCAAAGAGTAAGAAAAGAAACTTCTGGGAAGACTACTCACTCTCCCCTTGGGCGCAATTATTAAACGTGGCTATAGCATTGATCAGGCTTTTCACAGTAAGACCTGAGAACAGGTACCTGACTAATGGACCCACTCTGGACCATGCTCGGGGACTAGACACTGGGGAGCCCCCAAAGGGTAAGCCATGTGGTCCCTGGCCCTAAGGTGGTGGTAGGGGCGCGTCTAGCCCAAGGGGGCCCTATCAGGAGACTCGCAGAGGGCCTTATCCGAGGAATGACTGTGCAGCATGCCAAGGGCTGCTTCACCCATTACTGCCCTGGTCTGGGGGGCTCCCCGGAGAGCTGCCTGGGACTGGGTGGAAATACTACAGCGGCACCACCTCCACCCAAGGTTAACCCACCAGGCTCCCCCGACAGTCCCAACCTCCAGGTCCCTCCTTCCGTGGGACGAGGGGGTGCGGGGGGCAGGCAGGGGGTGCGGGGCGCAGGCGCGCGCTCCCGCCTCCGGGCCCCCTCGCCACCCGGCGCGTGCGCGGCACCGGGTTCCCAGGCCTGCGCGCAGCCGGGGTGGCTGCACTGCGCGCGCGCGCCGACCCCGCGTGGGGCCCGGCTCCGGCGCGCGGCGCGGAGGCGGGAGGGGCCGGACGAGGTCGGGGAGCGGCGCGCCGGCCACTGGACACCGGCGCGGGGGAGGAGCGCGCCCCTTGGCCTTTCCTCCGCGGCCCCGCGTTCCCAGCCGGCAGCCCGAGCGACCGGGGAGCAGGTGGGGCGGGAGCGCGCGGGGGCTGCGGGCCGGGTGGGCGTGGGCGCCGGCCGGGCGGTTGGCGGGTCCCGGAGGGCCGCGCGGGGGTGGGGGCGCCGGGGGGGCGGGTGCCCGGCCGCGGCTTCCAGAAGCGCGGGTGTCCCGGCTCCCGGAGGCCCCCCCAGGGCGGCGCCGGGGCGCGGGCTGGGCGGCGAGGCCCACCGGCGGGCGTGCGCGCTTCTGCTCGCTGCTGCTCACGGGCGGGCGGCTCAACTTCAGGAGCGATGCCGCCAGGGGTGCGGGACGCGCCGGGCCCCGCGGCGGAGCTGGCTGGGGTCCCCGATCTGTCCCTGCAGCCTTGACCGCCCCGGCGCGCCGGGTGTGCTCCGTGCGCTTGGATGTGCCGCGCGCGGAGAGCCGCCGGCTGCCTCCACCGAGGCGCTCTCGCCTTCCCTTTGCTTATTAAATTGCTTGAGAAACCTTTTGCCTCTGGGAATTCAGAGCTAAACCACCTGACTCGGCTTCCAGATTTTGCTACCCCGAGATTGCTTAGTTCCAAATTGTGGGAATTGGGAGAAGAAGTTGGATACAGGCGTCAAGATCGCATCCTGGCGACTTAGGTTGATGAGTCTCTGATGTCAACTCTCTCTTGAATTGGGGGTCTGGCTAGTCGTGCACACAGACACTATGTAGGCAATTGGGAATAAACCGTGTTCGGAGACAATGTTTTGATGCGTGTCAGAGGGTGGCAGTAACTTGCTACATAATCCCAGCTAGACTGTGCCTCCTATTGTAGCAGTATCAGAGTATAAATAAATGCTGCCTTTGAAATATGTCGATTAGAAAAAACTTCCTTCTTTGAAACAGCTTCCTCATACTTCAATTGTACTGCACTTTCGCGTCGAACATTAGTTATTTATGAATCTTCCACACCATTTGAAATCTGTCTTCTATGTGGCAGATCACAAGGTGCAGGACAAGTCGCCTCTATGGAGGGAAAGACCAGTTGAAAATGGCAGAAGTCTGGCTTTCTACGCTTTCATGATGCAAAACCGCCCTGATTCTTATTTTGCTAACAGAAACAGGCACTTTTAAGTGCTTTCATTAATATGAACTAGCTGTGCTGTCACATTGGAACTTGACCTGTCATGAATGAATATATTTATTATGAATATGGCTCATAGGAGATTTGCCATAGCATTATAGGCTCTACTTCAAACGTTTCAGATTTACCAGCTACAGTTCCCACCAGCAGGGCCTTTTAAAAAGTGGTATTTATATAGTTTCTTCTGTTGCTTATTAACAACTCTAATGTTGAATCACATACTAGTGATCTTCGTGGTACAGGATCAACTTAACTCTTTCCCCTGTTTAAACCTAAGTCTGGTAACTTTTAGGGTTCGTGTTTCCGTGTTAATTAGGTATCATTAACTGTGCTGCGCTGGGCACCTGTCTGTTGTTTTCTCCTGTGGCGTCTGAGCAGCACTGTTTGGAAAGCAGCGTCAGTGCTGTTCAGTGGGACTTTCTGCAACCAGGGAAGTTTTCTTTCTGCTCTATTCATTCTGGCAGCTGCTGGCCTGAATGGGGCTAGAGCCAAGGAGGAACAGAGTCTTTAATTTAATTTAAGCAGTCACTTGTGGCTAGTAGCTACCTGGTTGGACAGTGCAGCTTTAAATTGTCCCCCAGGAAGCCTTCACATATTCTCTTGAATCTGCGCTAGGTGTTCCCAGCACTCTTGGGCCACAGCACTTAGTACAATTATCCAGTAATTGCAACTTTCTTGTAGGAATTCTACAGTAGGCTGTAATCTACACGAGGGCTAGGGCATATCTATTTTCTTTGCCTTTGCTATGCTCAACCTCCAGCTTAGTGAGAAACACTCTTAATATTTGTTGAAAGACTAAATGAACTTCAAGAGGGTAGGCATACTTTGTTCTCTCTAGGGCTTAGAACTATCAGTACTGTAAATACTTGTTTAATGAACAGATTTCATGTGAAGCAAATAAATGGATTATTGGAGATATGTTTTAAATGTCTGTTTTGGTTACATGATTTTTTTGGAGCCTGTAGGGGCAGGAAGGCCACAGTGCAGGTTTTCTGATCCAGCAGACCGGGTAAAGGAGGAGTCTTGAAACCCTTAGTGGCTTTTGCAGGCTTTTATTGGGATTCACCAGGCACATGGCAGGCAGGGGTGCTGGGGGGCCGAGAGGCTGGCAGGCTTCCCAGCCCCTAGCAAGTCTTCACTCTATCTGGGCTCTCTGATGATCTCTGTTGCTCTGCTCTCTCGTGGTTCTGGTTCTGCTTCTGCTTTTCTGCTTCTCAGCTTCTACTGCATCTCTTCTCTCGGTTTCTGCTGACGTCCCCACGCCGCCGCCCCTAAAAGCCCAGTCTCAGCCCAAGTGAATCCCATCTACATATGTCCACACCCTATTCCAGGTGCCCGCCATCAGGCATGCATTCGGGACCACAGGGTTCTGTCATCTGTCCTAATGGCAGGAGGGGAGAAAAGCCTGATACTTTTTACCTCACTCTACAGAGCCTCATGCAAATAAAGACTCATGATAAAATACTATTGAAGTTGAATGAAAGGGTCTCATGATTCCAGCTCATGTGGATGGGCGTAGGTCTCCCATTGAGAGCTCAAGGATGTTGCCCTAGAATCCATACCCCTAATCAATCTGAGAAATCTCTTGGCCCTAGTGAAGCTTGTTAGTGAGGCCCCGAGCCATTCTGAGGAAGTTAGTGGGCATCTCTGCTCACCGTTATTTTGTGTGGAAGAGGGAGGCTAGAAAATCAAGAGACATTAGAACCAGGTGAGATTGCTTTGTTCAGAGTTGACTAGGGCGATGGGGTGGGTAGGATGGGATACCTACATAAATCAAAGTTTGAGGAATTCAGTTGTACTTACTATATCATGTATGTATACAGTTACTTAGGGTGTATTTGGTGGCATGTAATTTTAGTATTCTAGAAAACCTGAATACCTTTAATGTGAAACTGGATTTGGCTATTTAATATACAGTGTCCATGTCCATATTAACATGCATCCTATGAGACAAAAAGAAAACACCTTACTCTTTACCAGTTCCTGCTAGTATTCAGAAAACATGAACCAAGTTGAAAAGAACCAGTTAGCTCAGAGAGGTGGCCTGGTTGGTGGTCGAGGGAAGCCTATTTGGTTAGACATGGCGTTGACTAGCCATGTACAGTAGAGCCCCATCGCGTGACCTCCAGCATGGTGTTACCTGCTAGAGTAAGTTGTCGGCTAAATTCTATTTTTTTGCACAGTAATAATCTAAACTAATTTTTATTTGATTTTTTAAAACATGAATTCCTGTTTATACAGCTATAGCATGTCATAATATTCCAGGCTATAAAGAACTGATGCAAAGGAGACTGGAACGTTTTTAATGTCACGGGTCAGCTTTATTAAGGTGTACATTGTTTTCTCCATTGTTCCTGATGTTCGGGCTGGGGTGCAGCACCAGTCTCACTTAGAACAAATTTGTTTAAAGGGCTCATATTTTCTAGGAAAAGTGATGTGGCTTTAAAGGCATGGTTGTTAATATCCTACTGGGTTATGAGGAATAGATCCTGTTTTAGATCCTGTGAAGAAGGGAAACAAAGTCCAGAAGGTCTTTGATTTATGTGGGTGATGCGATTACTTTTCATTGATGTTAGAAAGTGACGAGAACTTTCTGAACTAGATTATTTTTTTGCAGTAGGTACATGGCATGATATATCCATGCTTGTTACTGAAGTAAAGAGAGCATCACCTAATTAGATGCGCTCAGCATTTTAAAATGTTTTCACCTATTATTGGGAAAACATAGTTTTAAAAATTATCTAGAGCTTTGTCTGAAAAGATTACATGCAGTGTAGAAGCACACATTTGAAGAAGTGTGAATCTGTACTCCTAAAACATATACAGTGCTGGAAGCCAATGTTACCTCAATGAAAAATAAAAAGATTGCATGTACCTATGACTAGTAAGAGGCAGTGTGAAGGAATATATATTGTTTAAGAACAGTTTGCTAAAAGGACAGTTCCCCCTCCCTCTTTCTCTCTGAAAGTGATCCTTGGAGCTTAGAATTAAAAAATGTCAGTAGGAGCAAAAATGGCAGCAGGTTAGATATTAAAAAGAATATAGACTTTTTGTGATTGAAGGACATCATTCTAAGTTGCATGTAAACATAATAGATATTTCCTTCCCTCTCATTAAAGGTGGCTTCCTAGAAGATGACCATAGAGGACCTTCCAGATATTCCATTAGAAGGATATCCTTTGATTGGAAAATACCCATTTTTATTTCCAGGTTCTGATACACCAGTTATATTTTCCATCTCTGCAGCACCAATGCCTTCAGACTGTGGTATGTTAAGTTACTGTTTCTTTTCTGTGACCTGGTAACTTGACTTCTGTCTAAGTGCTTTTTGCATGCATAGTGTTACCTAAAGCCATTGCTATGGTTTTTATAAAATTGCTAACCTTTTTCTTTTTCAAAAATTATTGCTTTTTCTGCTTAAGCTAAACATTTTATTTCTGCTATCAGCATTTTTATTATGTAAAAATGTTCATTTTAAGCATCATGATGGATTCAGAAGATAATTATTTTTAGAATGCAGTGGTGCTTAAGACATCTAGCATTATTCTGCTATTGATGTATTTTTTTTGGTAAATATACTGACTTGCTAAAAAGCCATGTGCTAAAAAAAATGATTTAAAAATTCTGTCTCTAAGAGGTCTGCTATCTCTGAGATGACAGGATTCTAGTTAAACCAAACACTCACTGCTGAAATGATGCAAACTTAGGTGACAATATAACACGTTGTGTTTCAGTACACTGGGGAACCTAATTTGGATCCTATCTGAATTCTTTCCCATTGTAATTAGCAGCTTACACACAAATAAAATATAGTAAAACTTGAAAAGAGCTCATGTGCTTAGGCATAGAGGGTGAGAGAGCTTTTCCTAGATTGTGGGGTGAGATTGGTTCATATTTAAATTGGTTCATTAAAATCTCCTCTGTAAAATGTAAATCTAGAAGTATTCTGGGTTTATCTATTTGGGTTTATTTCTCCAGGGTCATTGTCGGTGAAGGAATAAAAGAAAACAAGGAGATAAATTGATAGGTTTGTTACATTTCTAATTAAGTTAGAGTTTTACAGGCAAAATATTGGGTCATCACTTCAAATTGTGTTTGGAAGTAGAGATAATGCAGTTTTAAAATATTAGCAGATATAAAACTGTTGGATTGGGAATTTTTCTTTTATTCAGATCCATCCTAATAACTACTTATCTCCAAGTATGCTGTTTCTATGTGCTCGGATTCTATAGCAGTTTACCGTGCAGTCATCAAAAGTATTACATAAAACCTGTGTCTAGATCCCAGGAGTTATTTGCAGCTTTTATCAAAATTGACTGCATTTATTTTCAGATAGAACAAAATCAGTTATGCAGAAAAAAACCTTAAATGAAAGTATTTTGTACCTTGCTTCTGAACCCTCATTCAATCTGAGTCATAGTTGTCTTATTTCCTTAGACTAGAAACTCTTTGGGATGGAGCGGCAGTCTTGTCTTGTTTAGCTCATTAGGGCTAATAGAGCCATTTGTTGATATTGCTCAGTGTTTGTTGAATAAATCATTGGGTATAAGGTGATAGACGATATTGAGCCCCTTGTGTAAGTGAAATTAAACATTGCCTATATTCTTAGAATTGTAGATTCTTAGTATCTGAATGGACCTGTAGTCTAATTTTCCCTTGTTCCTCCCACTGCAGAAATTCTCTTTTCAGGCTCTCTCATAGATAACCTAACTGAGCCATTTGGATATCTTTAGTAGTGGGAAACTAATGAAATAGTCTATTCATTGCTAAAATGTTTCAGTTGTGATAAAATATTTTTGTTGTAATATTTAAATATATAAAATGTGCAAATATACATGTAACATGTAAGTATATAAAGTATTTGGAACCCAGAATATGTGTCCTTGAAACTTTGGATGCCTCGTGCTAGTTTGATACGTGGATCAAACACTTCTTTATCTGACAGCCCTCAAATATTCGAAGACAATTTAAATATTTTTACTTAGCCTGTGTTTTCTTAGGCTCCGTATTTCTGATTCCTTCACTAATCCCTCAGTGTCATGATTTCTGGACCCCTTTCACTTTTCTTTTTAGTATGCTATAGGCAGTGTCCGCTGAAAATAAGAATTGTACTTAATGAGTTTTTATTGAGGGCTTATAATGTCTTCAGTACTGTCCTAGATGCTAGAAATAGATGTCCTAGTAGGGAAAACAGACAAACAAGTGAATAAACCAATGTTATAAGTTATGAAGAATTCTGTGGAGAAGAGAAACTCCACAAAGAGGGTGCTGTGGCAGCAGATCATGGGGCAGAGAGGGTACTTTAGAGGGTGGTCATCTAAAGAAGCAGAAGGAGCTGGCATGAGAAGAGCCTGGAGAGAAGTGTTCCGGGCAAGATGGGGAAACTAAAGGCACACAAAGCCTGCTGCAGCCTAAGAATTAGTGGAATAATGAGGGCAGAATGGTAGGAGGTGAAATTGGAGAAGGGAAGGGCTGGATCATGCAGGATCACTACACCTTCCTAAGGAATTTGTATTTTATTTCAAATGAGATGGGAGCTATTAAAATGAAGATTGACTTTCACTCTGCCCCTGGTCAAGGATAAATTTCAAGTCCAAAAAAATAGCACCATGGCTGTGACTTCCGGTTACCAGGGCACCTGAGGATGGCTCAGGTCACCTGCCCGCTTCCGAAGCACTGACTCTCACTGTGGGGATAAGAAGTGCTTGACGGGCAATGACAAGCCAGTGGCTGAATGAAAACTTCAGGCTGGGTCTGGACGTCCCCAGTCTGCCCCACTGAGTTGATGGGGCTCACAAGCTCACCCAGAGCAACCTGCTGCATCACTCGTGTGCACAGCCTGTGGGGAGACAGAGAAGATTGGCATGGATATTTGGAGAAGCTTTTGACAGCCTAGGACCACTGGCCAGGGTCTGCTACAACCCTGGCTTTGAGAAGCTGAAACTGGAGTAACTTGAAGGACTCCCTGAAATGGTGAAGCACTACTCCCAGTTTCTGGGGAAGAAGCCTTGGTTTGCAGGAGACAAAGACAGCTATGTGGATTTCCTGGCTTATGACAACCTCCTTTCTTGACAAACTTCTTATTTTTGAGCCCAAGTGTCTGGATGCCTTCCCCAACATGAAGGGGGTTCATCACCTGCTTAGAGGACCTTCAGAAGATCTCTGCCTCATGAAGTCCAGCTGCTACCCCCAATGCCCACTGCTCTGTTTCTAAAGATGGCCATTTGGGGTGACCGATAGGCCCTATGAGCCAGGAGATGGAAGCTAGGGGGCGAGTCTGTTGTATTACACTGGGGCCTCCAAACAGCTGGAGCCTCCTGCATCCCCAGTCTTTCACCTTTCTTTGCTAAGTGATGTCTCTGAATTGTATCCTTCCCACTAAATCAAGACAACCATCCTCACATCAGTGGTTGCTTCTGCTCTGAGGTGTCTAACACTGCCCCCTGCTGGTCCCTATCTCCTGGCACTTCCCTGACGTGGAGCCTGCCCAGCCCTGCTTGATCCCCTGTAATGCCATAATCACAAAACAAAACAAAATTGAGATTGAGATTGAGATTAAAACCAGAGCTCAGACATGCAACTCGGTGTTGCCTGCAAGACAATGTTTTGTCCTAAAGATTTTAGAGTCTTTGGCTTTGAATGTCTTCAGGGTCAGTTTGCACAGAAGCATATTATGTATGTTAAAAAGCCCATAAACAGTGAATTATCTCTTAAAGAGATTTAAATAATAATAATAAATCTTATTTCACCCACACAGTTACCATTTCTAGTCTTCTTTATTCCTCTGTGTAGATCCAGGTTTCTCCTTCTTTATGAAGGGCTTCCTTGAGCATTTCTGAATCCTTTCAGCTTTGCTGTAGCTGTTCTAGGTCTGCTTCAGTTGATTACTCCCCTGATTATGGGTCTTATCTTCCCCTTCCTTTGCATGTCTGGTAATCTGGAAATCTTTTAAAGAAAGTTAATGAAGAAACATTCGTTTGTGATCTGTACAGGTGTATAGCATTATGTTTCCACATCTGTATGTACTCTGTTATGTTCCATGCCTGGCGGTCACCCTTTGATTGATGCCAGACATTGTGGATTTTACCTTGGTGGGTCCCAGATATTTTTGAGTTCCTATAAACACTCTTGCGCTTTGTTCTTGGAGGCAGGGAAGTTACTTGGAAAAGTTTGACTCTTTCTGGTCTTGTTTTTATGTCTTGTTAGGTGGTTCTAGAGCAGCCTCCTCTGGGGCTAATTATTCCTCACCACTAAGTGTTCTACCCAATGCTCCGTGAATTTGTTTCCAGTTTTTTTGGTGGGAACAGACACTGTCCATTCCCATTGTGAGCACTGGGCCTCACCTCCAGTCCTTTCCCGTGGCTCTTTCCCTTCCGAGCATGTGCTGAGTCCTCCTGCGGCACTTGCGGTTCTGTGTGCAGCTGTGTCCTCTCTGGTGCTCTGCCTGTGGCCTTGAGCTGCCTGGGTTTCCTTGGGCTCTCAGCTTTGCTCCTTAACTCAAGGAGTCTTCTGGGCTTTTTCTTGGTTTCCCTCTCTGTGCCACAGCCTGAAGCTCTCAGGGCAGTGGTAATACTCACCTTGTTGTCCTGTCTGCTAGGACCTGTGTCTTTCACTGACTGACGTCCAGTGTCTTGAAAACTATGCTTTATTTATTTCCTTTTTTTAAAAAAGATTTATTTATTTATGCATACAAGAACTAAGGTGTAGGCCAGAGGTGCAGGGGGTGAGAGGATTCACCAGAGACAGAGTGGGGAGAAGAACAGGCAGATCTATTGAAATACACTGCTGAGGGGAGCAGCGGGCAAGACAGGAGAGGTCTGCTGCACCATGTGGGTAGCTCCTTGGCTAGGGATCGAACTCGTGCTGCAGTGGAAGGCGATAGCATGATGGTGGTGAGACTTAGCCCCATGTGCCACCAGCGAGGCCCTGTTTCCTTTGGTTTAGTTGATGGTTTCAGATGGAAGAACAAAGCATGGTCCTCTTTATTCCATCTTGACTTGCAGGGGCACATACTGCCTGTATCCCTGACCCCACTTTCCTTTGATTAATTTTTCTCTTTGCTGTGAGAAGCTTCAAGTTTGGTTGTAGTTAGATTGGTAAATGTGCAGCATAGTGTAGACATTAAGATCAGTGTGGTTTAATCCCGATTCAACCACTTACTTACCAGTTGTGTAATCTTGGGCATTTCACTTTTGTTTTTTCTTTGATAAAATGAGAATAATAGTAGTACCTACCGCATATGGTATGGGGATTTCATGAGGTAATATATGTAAAGTGCATAGAATAGTCCTTGGCACTTAGTAAGCACTGAATGAGTGTAACATTATCATTATTATTTGAATGAACTGGTGGCTGTTTGTCATCACCTGCCTGTGTAGTTGTTGACGCACAGCTGCACACGCTAGTGTTTATTGAACTATGCACACTCCCCTTTTGGTTCAACCGTTCTGCCTTATTTCTCTTACATTTACTTTCCAGATCTTTGCTACGCAAAGTGTGGCTCTGTCTAATCGCTTTGGCGTCACTGGGAGCTTGTTAGAAATGCAGTCCCTGGTGCCACCTGAGACTAAATCAGAATTTGCATTGTAACAAGATCCCCAGGCGATTGCTTCCTGCTTTAATGTTTGAGAAACTCTGGCATAAATGAGTGGTAGCATAATTTTGTCTGTATTCTCCAACAAATAAATCCTGGTGAGATTTTGGTTAGCATTGAAATTATTTTAAGTAATTGTTCTTGGGAAAATTGAGATTTAAAGCTTTAAATATTTTGTCTTCAAGTCCAGGAACATGATGTGTCTCTCACCATTTAAATCCCCTTGCCCTTAGTTTTCTGTTTATTATTTCTGACGTAAATAAGCGTCATCCATTCACTGGCATGTTTGTTACCGGTATTGTTATTGTGCATGTTTTTCTCCATTGCATTTCACTTTTAAAATAGGAAATTACTGAAAAATGCAGAAAGTGCAGTGACAGTGAGCACATATACTGTACATATCTACATCAGAAGGAACAAACACTAATATTTTGTCATATTTCCTTTACCACTTGTTTTTTAATTGAAGGAAATAAAACCTTAAACATAAAATCGAAATCCTTCCATTTTTCTTTCTTGTCCCATTCCCATTGCTCCCCAGAGGCAACCACTACCTTATATTTAGTGTGAATATTTCAGGCCATGTCATTACTATACTACATATGAGTGCCTGGAAATAATATATATTATCTTTTTGTGTTTATAATTCCATATAAATGAAAGTTACTGTGTGTCATTCTGCAACTTATTCATCAATGTGTCTTTTGAATCTTATCCTTAACAGTTCATGACTTAGATATTAAAATCATTTATTTAATTATAAAAAAAAGATTCCGCCCTATGAGTCTACCACATTTTGTTCTTTTTGTTTTTTTGGTATTACAATCTATGGTAGAATAAGCATTCTTGGTATGGTAGAATAAGCATTCTCAATCTACAGTAGAATAAGCATTTCCTGTGGACACATGGAGAAGAGTCTGTTTAGGTGTATATTTAGAAACCTCTCTGTTTGAAATACCCAGTGCCTAGAGAAAACGATTGCTCTATAAATATTTATTGAATGGATAAATCAGACCAAAAAAAAAAAATCCCATTCAACTGAAATTTGTAACAAACACAAACAAATCTAAGTTCAAGAAACTTGCAAGGCCCTTGTCCCTGTTGGATACCAATTTTTTTCTAGTTCTTTTCTGAATACAGAGGGCCGTTTTGTCGTCTAAGATTCTGGATGGTATCTCATTCTAGTTTGATTCTTCCTCATTCTCATCTAATGAACTGCCTCCTGCTTTTTAACTGTGCTTAGTTTTGTGTCTCTCTCTTTTTTTTTTAATAAGATTTTTTTTCCTTAAAGATTTATTTATTTATTTATACAAGAACTGGGTACAGTCAGAAGCGCAGGAGGGTGAGAGAATTCACCAGAGCCAGAGCAGGGAACAGAACAGGCAGACTGACAAAATACACTGCTGAGGGGAGCAGCGGGCGCAGCAGGTGAGTTCTGTCACGCCATGTGGAACCCTTGCCGGTGGCAGGGCATCGAACCGGCACTGCAGAGGCTGCATGCAGCTTCTCAGCCCAGAGCTCAACTGCTGCGCCACAGGGGAGGCCCTGCACCTCTCTTTTTAACTTTTACTTATCCTGCTTCTGAAAGTGACAATTATGTGTACATGATTTAATTTTGGAAAAGACATAAAAATGGAAAGACCCCCCCCCCCACCGCTCCCCATGTTGTAAATCCGGCTGCTCATGTGTACTGTTAAAACCTGAGCTCAGAGAGTTCCCTTAGGGAGGCAGCATCACAGAGAGAAGAAGTTAGCCTCTGGAGACAGACCTAGTTTTCTGTCCCAGATGTGCCACTTTTACTGCCTGTGTGTGACTTTGAGCAAGTACCGTTTAGTCCAAACTTTGGTTTCCTTGTCTGTGAAATGAGAGTAAGTGTCCCTGCCAGGTGAAGTGTTTGTGAGGGTTGCAGGAGTTTGGTAAATTGTAAGCAGTCAGCAAGTACTGGTTTTTTGAATGTCTCTCTTGTTTAGATATTTCAAATTTTTTTTTTTTTTGAGGGGGGTTCCTTACCTTTTTAAGGAGTGTTCAGGATACTGGAACCTGATTTTCCTCCATTCTCTTTTATCCTCTACCTGTGGACAATCTTAGTTTCCTCTGAATTTTAGGAAGGAAGTTTAAAGAGATATTTAGATCATATCTGATTTTGTCCAGTATTTCATTTTACCGTTACATAGTCCAAAGTAACCCAATTGCTTTGTCCCAAAGTTTCATTTCTGCATTGCCACAGATTGCCTCCTTGCCAGCTGGATAAAAGTAATGTCTGTTTATTATAGATTAGGAAAAAACAGAGAAGTGAGAAGAATATTTGAAATTAGACATTGTTCTAGTATACATTTTTGATATTTTGAAATATTTTATGTATGCTTTAATCTTAGATGTGAACTTAATGTTCATGACATTATATTTTGGGAAGTGAGACTATCATTGAAATTTGACAGTTTTTCTGTGCTTTAGAAATAGTTCTTTGAAAGTTCAGGGTTTGAGATCAGACTTTGTATACTCGCCCATTTGTTTCATCCTTAATAAAATGTCCTGTGAGAAGTGGAAATCTCCTTTCTCACAACTCAGGAATGTCTCTTACTTTTTGGTGATCCTGGCTTTGAATTTGAGAATTACTTAATTTTTTTTTTTAGTGTCTAAAAATATTTGTGTCATTCGAACCCTGGTCTTATCCTCTTACTATTTTTAGTATATTTATTTGGAACTTTCAATAAATTTAATTTCTACCTGTCTTATTTCAGAGTTCTCTTCTTTGATCCAAATGATACATCATGTCAGGAAATTCTCTTCGATCCCAAAACTTCTGTATCGGAATTATTTGCCATTTTGAGACAGTGGGTTCCTCAGGTCCAGCAGAACATCGACATTATCGGAAATGAGGTAGGGCGTCCTCACATTTTAGGTTTTGCGCTGTTGTCAGTGATAGGGATTTCCCCCCTATCTGAATGGGAAGATGGTGATAAAGGAGAAAGTTTTGAAAGATTTTCATGTTTGTTCTTTGTATTCCCATGCTTTCCCTGGGGCTGTGACTATGCGTTCTGTTCCTTCCGCTGTTCCCTCCATGCTCCTCACTTTCTTGCACCTGGAGTTCTCATAGACCATGGGTGGGCGCAGATATCTTACAGACTTCCTTTCTTTGTAAAAATTAATTTTGTAAACTTAAAAATAACATTACCATCATGTTCTTCCTATGTTGTTGGATAGTTTGGTAAACACCTAGGCTTAAGTATAATTGTAAAAAATACTTGATGTTTAAAAAAAGATTTATTTATTTATACAAGAACCGGGGTACAGGCCAGATGCCCGGGAGGGTGAGAGGATTCACCAGAGACAGAATGGGGAACAGAACAGGCAGACTGACGAAATACACTGCTGAGGGGAGCAGCGGGCGAGACAGGAGAGGTCTGCCACGCCATGTGGGACCCTTGCCGTCCTGCCGGGATCGAACCAGCGCTGCAGAGGCTGCGGAGAGCCTCACAGTGTGGTGCTCAACCGCCTGCGCCACCAGGGGAGGCCCGAAAAAAATACTGGATTTTTTGAAGGAGAGAGGAAAGAATAACAGAGTTCCTTGAACAGCCATGGTTTGGGAAGAGAGCGCTATTATTTTTTTCATATACCATTGAAGACTTCTTTGCTAACCTTCTCCTTTGATAGGTTAGGGAACATTTTTTAGTGCCATACTGCCTTGGAATTCCCTTCAGCTTGGTGACAAATTCAGTGGGGTTTTTTTGGTGTTGGGGGCAGATTTAAGATCTATCCTTAAGAAGAACCAATTCCATTTATACATTTTGTTGAGAATTAATTCAGAAAAGGTAGACTAACGTGGTTTCCCAGCATTGGTTTAAAATCAGCTGGCTTCATGGTGCAATCATGCACTTCTTGTTTGTTTGTTTGTTTGGGTTTTTTCAGATTCTTAAGAGGGGTTGCAATGTGAATGACAGAGATGGACTGACAGATATGACCCTTTTACATTATACTTGTAAATCCGGAGCTCATGGTATTGGTGAGTATGTGGAAAATCTGTCCATGGCTCAGTTCACCTGGGTTTGTGCCTGTGTAATCTCTGATTTTGTCAGCCCAGAAGGGCACTGAGCTGATGCTGATATCAAGCAGGAAAGGATTCAGTTATTGATAGATCCTTCCAAAAACGTTTTCTCCCTCGATCCTTTTGTTCAGGGAGTCTTTATAGCCTCAAGCACCTTTCAACTTCTCTGGAACAGCCTTCCTTCTGCTGTTCTCACTAGTGAGAGTTAACGGGTAACACCTTGGAACCTTCCTGAGAGTTTACAGCAAGATCTGACAACCCAAAGTCAGTTTTCCAGGCATCCAACCCCTACCAAGGTCTATTCCTACACACATAGCCAATGTGCAAATACCCCAAAGTTAGTATTCTCCTGAGCTTTACCATTGTGTAAGCCTGACCCTTCACTTAACTATTGTTATTATCTCTTCCCTGTTTTAATGGTCAGAGTTAGTGCTTCTTAAATTATTGGTGATGAAGGACTAGTGATTAATTTAGCACTCTATCAGGAGCTGATACTTTTGTGAAATAAAATAAAATTGAATTTATATAAAAAAATGAAATAAAAATATAAAATACAAGCCTATTTTCTAAATGGCTTAAAAGTACATTTCAATTAATATAGTCAGAAGAAACAGTTCCATATGGTTAAAAAAAAAAAGAGTTACAAAATGTTCTAATAAATCGAAGTTTGAAAGTGGCAGTGAGTGGTCCTCTGAGCACACTCTGAGCAGCCTAGGTCTAGTGTGTTCTTTTTAGTGGTCTTACAGTATTTCATTATATGGATATCTTATAATTTGTTTAACCAGTTTCTTGTTATTGAACTTTTTAGGTTGTTACAGAGTTGTATTCATAATAAAGAATGATGAATATCTCTATGGCTGTGTTTATCCATATGCATGAGTATGATTATATTCTTAACTGCCTTGCAAGTGAAACTTTTGAGGTGTAAGGGTATATTCAGTATGCTGTTTGCTTTGGTTTTTTAAATAAGTACATAGCCATCTAATGGAACTTACAATTTGTACTGAACATCTTTAGGTGATGTTGATACAGCTGTAAAATTTGCAACTCAACTTATCAATCTGGGAGCAGATGTTAGTTTGCGGAGTCGCTGGACCAATATGAATGCTTTGCACTATGCTGCTTATTTTGATGTCCCTGAGCTTATCAGAGTGGTTTTGAAGACATCTAAACCAAAAGGCAAGTACTGTAAGATCCCCGCTAGATGTTATTAATTGAACATTTTATTTGTGTTATAAAAGCTATAACTCAAAGAGGATTTTACTTCTTACCCATCTTGTTCCATATGGCCTCCTAGCCCATATTTTTAAGAAATAGCTCAAAATTTCTTGTTGGAGATAAATTACTATCATTTCACAAAAGGCTTAGTCAAGGAGATACAAAATAAAAACTGCTCTCTGGATTTTTATGCCTCTGCAAATTCCCCAATATTATAAAAAAAATGTAATTGAGTCTATGTGCTATATATTTTGTCTTAGTCCAGTAGCCAGAAATAGAATAATAAAGCCTTCAGAACTAATCACTGAAATCATAAAAATTTTTTTTTAGATGGCATTCAGTTTGGAAATTTCGTGGTTCCAGTAAAGGACAAAATTTTGTCCCCTTCCCTTGTCTTAGTGATATCCTATCTCCTGAACACCAGAATGTCTACATTACTGTCTTGGGATTTTGACTTTATTCCTGGTTCTCTCAGTGGGTCAGTTTTCTTTTGAGAAAAGGAAACACACGAGAGGGCAGCAGCGTGTAAGTTAAAGGCGACATACAATGTTTTCTCCATTTGTAGGCTTGTTTCAGAGATGCGTTGATAAATTTCCCAGAATGTCTGTTCCTAACCTCTGCTTTGTATAATTGCCTGTTTGTTCTTTAACTTTGACTGCTCCACTTTTTGAGCAATGACAGGAGGACATCCTTTCTTGACAGCACCGTGTTCTTACTGACTCAGGGGAGTTTGTCCTGACCATAGGGGCTGGTTTGCAACTGCTGGTGGGCATGTGGGCTGGCGTGGTTAGATTAAGGCAGGACTAGCAGAACCAAGTAAACATTAAACTTTTTTTTTTTTAAAGATTTATTTATTCATACAAGCACTGGGTACAGTCAGAAGCACCGGAGGGTGAGAGAATTCACCAGAGCCAGAGTGGGGAACAGAACAGGCAGACTGACGAAATACACTGCTGTGGGGAGCAGTGGGTGCGGCAGGAGAGGTCTGCGCGCCATGTGGGACCCTTGCCAGTGGCCAGGGATCGAACCGGCGCTGCAGAGGCTGCGGGCAACTTCGCAGCCCAGTGCTCAACCACTGCGCCACCAGGGAAGGCCCCTAAACCTTTGTTATAGAAAATATTCCAAATGGGTTCTCCTGGTCCAGAGGATTTCCTATGTCTAAGTATAGCAACGTGATGATTTATTGAAAGTTTAACAAATTCTTTAGAATTGCAAGGTTCTGTTTCTTATTATGCAGCCCCTATTCGTTTTTTGAATGAAGTATTATAAAGTAACCTGCTGTGTAAGTATTTTTATGTATAATCAGCCTTAACTTATTCCTGACTTGAAAATTCTGCATTGTTTCTCCTGCCACTTTTTCTGTAGAGAGCCAGATAGTAAATATTTTAGGCTTTGAGGGCCATATGGTCTGTGTCACAGTGGCTTGGTTATGCCGTTGTGGTATGAAAGTAGCCAGCGAGCACATGTAAATGACTGCAAGTGGCTGTGTTCCAATAGAACTTTATTTATGAAAGCAGAGGTGAATTGAACTTGGCTTTTTGGGCGGCACTTAGCTGGTGCCTGGCCTACATCTTACTGTCTCATTGTAGTTATGATGGCAGATATGCGAGAGGGTTAACAGAGATTGTGTTAAGATAATTGCTTTTACAAATATGAACTGTCAATACTGTTTTTAAATATAATTTCGTTTGTGGTAGTTGGAAAACCCATGACAATATCAGTCCATTTTATTGTACTAAGAAAATAATTGATTAACCGGATTGTAATATGGAGATTGTGTTCCATTGAAAATGGTGGTTCTAGTGAGTTGGTCAAAGACTTACAAATGGCTAATGACACTCCCTCTCCCAAAGAAAACCCCCAGCTGTCTCCTTTTACATTATAATAAATTTGAAATTTCAGTTAATATGCTTGTGATGTTTAATTGCAGATGTGGATGCCACTTGCAGTGACTTTAATTTTGGAACAGCTCTGCATATTGCTGCCTATAACTTGTGTGCAGGTACTGTGAAATGCTTATTGGAGCATGGAGCAAACCCTGCATTTAGGGTAAGAGGTTAAATTGAAAGTGAAAAATATTAAAAGAATTAAAAAGTCTAATATTATCAATATGATCGTCCAGTAAAGAGTTGAATCTGGATGTTGCTATAGAACTCTTAAATATAAAATAATTCATATTTTTTCCAGATAAACTTTATCTCAGATAAGTTTAAGGCACAGCAGTGAATTTCAACCCTTATATTGATAAGCCCTACAAAGCTTTATATTCATCCAGCAAAGTAAAATACTTCTCTTTGAGTTTAAGTACCTTTTATTCAGGCTTTAGATATATTTATAAAAAGGTAGCTGTTAAAATAAAAATGCATATATTAAAGTTATATTTATTAATTCATATCTTAAATTCTTTTGGAAAGAAATTTTATGGCAGGTGGTTTAAAATTTGCACATTTGAGAATGGTCTAAACCTTTAAAGGAAAATTTAATTTTATCATGGTCATGCTACTAATTTACAAAGTTAACACAGGATTGAATTTCATAATCTTCAAGTCCTTTGGTATTATATTATCTTCACAAAAGTGGGTCTCAGTGTTCTTTTCCCTTATTTTGATAACAGTCACTTGCTCTGGCAGGGAATCTTTATTGGGCCTGTGCCTTCTCTTGAAGGAGCGTGTGGGGAAATAGTGAAAAAGCCTCTTCCCTCTGATTTTTTCCCTCCCTCTTCCAGCTTTTCTGTTTCCTCTCTCCTTCCTCCCTCTTTGCCACATCTCTTTCTGTTTATCTCCATCAACTAATTTGCCTTCCCTTCGGCCCTCCACTGTCTCCCATGGCCTCGCACCCCTGCCTCCACCCTGCGTGCAGGGACAGTTTGACAGTAAAGAAGGTAAAGGTCTGTCCTCAAGGAGAATGTGGTTCAGAGAGGAAGATGGTCAAGTGCACAGTTTGCTGTAGCGCTGGGTTCAGTGTGTTCTAGGCGGGGTGTGGCACAGACTGCCTTGGGGGTCACATGAGAGGGTCACATTAAGTACCTCAATATAGTTAAGAAATAGCCAGGTACGGGGGAGAGCTGAGAACAGCATTCCAGGCAGAGAAAGTAGCGGGCACAAAGTCTAGGAGGTGATGAGAATGCCTTAAGGCATTTGCTACAAAATTCCATTGATGGAGAGAATATTTTGAATTTAGTAAGATGCAGTGAGGTATGTCATTGAGCTGAATTGCTAATTCAGGTCAGAAACAATGAATAGAGGACCACATTTTGAAGGCTAATACTTCATATGTGGCCAGTGTGTGGGCCAACAGTTGCCCTTGGAACATATTCCAATCACCAGTATTTTATAAGAAAATGGAATTCTGGAATTAACCCTGAATGAGCATTCTTGTGTTAGCATAACATCATCCTTGTTGTTATTTTATTATTTGGTATTTTTCTTAACAGAAGTTTTACTTGCTAAATTTTATAGGAGTTAATAGAACTAGTGACAATCTAGAAAAAACTAGTTCTAGGAGTAAATAGAACTAGTGACAATCTAGAAAAAGGAAAACTTAAAAATTTGAAGTAAAATAATCATTATATAACTTATAATTTACCAGTATAGGTTTTTATTTTAACCACCCCCCCCCATCTCCTGTCTCTTTCCATCAAGTGAACCTATTATAGTGTTATTCATATCTTCATTATATTTTGTTTTTTTTTTCTTTGAAATCTGGGGTTAAAATAGCCTACCACCTTCTCAGAAACTGGATAACATGTCATCCTACTATATTTTAACTTAGGATATTGACTTGAATTTTGAAACAAAAATTGGGAGGCACTTGTAAACTAAGTGGATTCTAAAAGCCTCTCTCTCTCATCCACGTGGATCATTTGAAGATGATTAGTTGCGGAGAAGAAAAGGGACCAAGTTTCTTAGGGAAAAAAATCTTACCAGATTTAAAAAAAAAAATACAGTCTGGACTTGTTCTCACAAAGTCTGAGGAACTTTGTTCTCACAAAGTCTTTTTGGCTGGGGAACTTAGCAGAAAGATACCTTGTGTGAGGCGGGAGAAAGGCTGAGAGTCTGGTGGGTCCTGGGCGTGGCTGTCGGGTCCTCTCTGCTGTGCTCACATCTGACTGGGCCGCTCACCTCCCTGGGCCTGGCTTCCTAACCAGCAGCCTGGAAATGTTAGCAGTACTGTACGTGTGTAGCTGGTCACATGCTATCTCTTTTAGAATGCGGTCTGAAGTCCTAACAGGCAAGGATTTTTATGTTTTATTCACACATAGAGTTGGGTTTCATAGGAGCACCAAATGAGGTCACGTCCACGTTGGGACTGTGATGACATAAACACCCTGCAAATGGTAGTGGGCTTGAGCGCTGGCCGTGTTACCTTGTGGCATGAGTGTCAGGACACAGTGTGTCCCTGTAGCGAGAGCAGAGTTGTTTTCTTGACCATAGCCCAGACTTTTGGATGTGTCAAAGGCTCTGTGGTTTGTGTCCCTGAAACCTGAGTCACCCAGTGAGTGGTGGGAGGGGTGCAGGCCACAGAGCAGCTGTGGAGGCTGGTGCCTGGTCTGGGCTCGGGAAGCCGCTCAGTGCTGACTTACCTTGTTGAACCTGCCTTCCTTGACCTCTGCGGCCAGGCCTGCTGCGACTCACCACCTCACCGTTGCTCTTCCTGGAGCCTGGAAAGCTTTTGCCCACCAGCTAGCCTGCGCCCAGCCCGGCTCTGGGGCCTCTGTAGCAAGGCATCTCAGGCAGCAAGGCTTCCTCTGGCCTCCCTGCATGAATGGCCCCCTGCGCCCCCAGCCACCACAGTCCCTGTGTCCTCTTCCCCTTCTCTGCATTGTTTATTTATTTTTTCTCTTTGCCATTTTTAATCATGAATATACCATGTATTTTCCTTGTTTGGTTATTCATGGTCTGTCTCCCCCGCAAAATGTGAGCAGGTGCCCCTGCTCCCTTCCCCATGGTTATCTCAGCTCTTGGAGCGGCGTCTGGCATCAGGTAGATGTTGAGTAAGCATTTTGGAATAAATAAATGAGGAATGAGTTTAATTTACCTTTCTTTCCCCCCCAAATCACTCTATATGCCTGTGTCAGCTCTAAGTGGATATGAATTGGGAACATTTGTCTGTATTTGTAGAACGACAAGGGACAGATCCCTGTGGACGTGGTTCCAGACCCAGTGGAGATGCCGTTGGAAATGGCTGACGCCGCAGCCACCGCTAAAGAGATCAGGCAGATGCTGCTGGACGCGGCGCCTCTGTCCTGCGAGGTCTTGAAGCCCGTGCTGCCAAACTACGAGCGCGTGACCAGCAGGGCCACGCTCACCTCCCTTGGCCTGAAGCTGGGGGACCGTGTGGTTATCGCTGGACAGAAGGTAGAGCAAGTGAAGCTGCCTCTGTGCTGCCCGCGTTCCTCGTGGCCGTGGCCTGGTGCACGCACACCGTGCGGTCGAGGTCTGAGTGTTTAGCAAAAGCTGAATGATGCTCTGTGGAACCGAGATGCGCTGATGTGCATCCTATAAAGATGATTTAAGAATATGAGTTATTTGAGCTTAACAGTGTAGACATCGCTGTTGGAATGCAGGGGGGTTATTCTTGTTTTAAAACTCTCTGAGGTTAACATGGAGCTTGGTTTGGAGACTGGAACAGGGAATTCCTGCTTGGGTATTGCGTTCCTAACATAGTTGTGTTTAAACATTTGGGCAGGCTTGGGGTGGGAGGGGGAAGGTGATGAACCTTTCTCAGAGAATGCTGAAATGGGGAAGTCTGATTTTATGGAGGAAATCTCTCCAAAAAAGAAGGTAAACTACAGACAAAATACTATGTTGAAAATGACATTTACCAACTTCAAAGAGAAAATGTATTTAGGACATTTGTTAGTTTTTCATTGTCCTTCTTGTGTCGCTAAAATATGGAGAATTATGGATTTGTAGCATTTAAAAAAAACTTTTAGGAATAGTAGTAACTTCTTGAGTGTTTTGCTCCTATATCTGAGAAAGGACTTTTAGAAGAGCTATTCTGCTGTTTTATTTTACTTTTAGTTTTGGGTAATTTAAAGCTCTACAACAGTAGACGTGTGCAATGAACACGTTAGGTAGCCAGCCGCTCTTGTTCCACTTCAGTTTTCTCTCCATCTACTGCGCGGTCCTCTGAGAGTCTTCATTCTCTTAGGAGTGTCTTTAAAGAGCAGAAGCTTTAAATTTTCCTACATCCCACAAATTTTGACATTTTGTGTTAGCCTTTTCATTCCATTCAGATTTCCCTTGTGATTTTCTTTTTCGCCAGGGGTTATTTAGAAACATATATTGTTTAATTTCCAAATACAGTTTTTCTTGGGTCTTTCCATTAGTGATTTCTGGTTTAATTCCCTTATGATCTGAGAACATATTTTGTGTGATTTCTAGTCTTTTACAGTTGTATGCTAGGTGGAGTGTTTTTAAAATGTCAGTCTGGTCAAGTTGGTGGCTGGTGTTGGGTTTCAGTCTCTATCCTTACTCATTTCCTGTCTGCTTGGCCTATTGATTCCGGAGAGGGGTGTTGAAGTCTCCAAGTGCAGTTGTGGGTTTGTCTATTTCTCTTTCCAGTTCTATCAGTTTTGACTTTGTGTGTTTGGAAGCTCAGTTGTTAGGTGCATACAGACTTGGGATTATTATGTCTTCTTGGTGAATTGACTTATGTCTCTATTCCTTGTTCTGAAGTCTACGTTGAGAGAAAAGGTTTTTAAAAAACTTCTATGGTGAAGTTGCAAGAGTAGAACATGTAAAATTACAAATGACACTCAAAACTTACTCTGATTTATATTTTCCATAGGTTGGAACATTAAGGTTTTGTGGAACAACTGAATTCGCAAGTGGGCAGTGGGCTGGCATTGAGTTGGATGAACCAGAAGGAAAAAATAATGGAAGTGTTGGGAAAGTCCAGTACTTTAAATGTGCCCCAAAATATGGTAAGGTACATAGTAATAACTTAATGAGAATTAATTTAAAATAATGAAATGTTACTCTTTCATTGTCTTTAAATAAAAATTTTCTCCTGGTTTCTAACTATAGTAAATAAAGGAGCTGCCATCTATTCTTGCCGTAAGCAGTATAATGATGGGGAGAAACTGTCTTATCTGGAGTACACCCAGCTCTGTAGACTTTCCTTAAAATCCTGCTCGTGGTGGGAACATGTCTGAAGGAGAGACTTATTTTCAAGGAAATACAGAACTCTGGAGTCAAACAAGTTGAAAAACTGGAAAAGCAAATGAGGCTAACTTACTACTGTGCTCCTGAACTAGAATGGTTTTCTTTTATACAATGTTTTCATAGTTTACATTAGCATTTTTTCTTTGTGTTGTATATTTGATGAGTTTGGACAAATGTGTATTGGCATGTACCCTTTATTATAATACCATGCAGGGTATTTACAGTGCCCTAAATAACCACTGTGTTCCCCCTGTTCATCTCTCCCTCCTCAACTCCCAGCAACCACTGATCTTGCTACTGTCTCCATAGTTTTGCCTTTTCCAGAGTGTTATATTGTTGGTATCATATAGATGTCTATGAAACCAGCTAAGATTGGGCTTTTTTCCACTTCATAATATGCATTTAAATTTCCTAAATGTCTTTTCATCCTTTGATAGATCATAACTTTTAGTAGAGAATAATATTCTGAAGTCTGGATGTGCCATAGTTAAGTTAATTTTTCCATTCACTTATTGAAGGACATCTTAAACTTTAATATTGGTACTATTTCTATGTCTTTTGATGATTACCAAAGTGAATACATGTACCTATTTTAATAAGGTAAATTACATTGTAAAGTTTATTAAAAGCAACAACAAAAACCCTTCCTATGCTCACCCTTTCCTGACCAGAGTCTAGCTCTTTGGAGGCAGGAGTTTTTTCAGCTCCTTCCCCTGTACCTTCTGATATTAATATTCATGTTTCTAATAACACAGTTATAGGAACCGCTCTTGGTTTTTCCAATTTGAGACTTCATACTAGGAAGAGACAGATTTGATGTTCTTACTAATTGAATTAGGAGTCTATTTAATTATTTTGGTGAAGCACATCTTTTATGTGCTTCACGCGAGGTGAATTTTGAGGTCTTCCACTCTAAAAATATGTTTGTTTCTGCCTCTGCACTTTATAGGATAATTTGGTGGAGTAAGGAATGTGAGATTGGGGTTCATATTCTCTCTCTATTTTGAAGGTGATATTCTGTTGTTTAATGCAGTTTGTCAAATATCTTCTGTAAAGAAGAAAAAATTTCTTCTACAGTATAAATATTGTAGACTTTAAGGGCCATCTCGTCTCTGGGCAGCGCTTCGGCTCTGCTGTGATGGTGTGCAAGCAGCCTCAGACAGCGTGTGAACACACTTTAGGAAAATACGCAGTGAGCAGGCTGTGCACTCAGGCTGTGGTTCGCAACTATTATCTTGAACACCCAGTATTGCTGTTTAGAAGCTTCACAGTTTTTTTCTCTTCTAATCTTGGTCCTTTCCCCTTCTCTTTGCAATCTGTTAGTACTTTTTCTTTTTTTGTCATTTTTTTTTAAAGATTTATTTATTTATTTATGCAAGCACTGGGTACAGTCAGAAGCATGGGAGGGTGAGAGAATTCACCAGAGCCAGAGCAGGGAGCAGAGCAGGCAAAGGACTGAAGTACACTGCTGAGGGGAGCAGCGGGCGGCAGGAGAGGTCTGCGTGCCACGTGGGACCCTTCCCCGGAGGCCGGGGATCGAACCGCGCTGCAGAGGCTGCTGGCAGCTTTGCAACCCAGTGCTCAACCGCTGCGCCACCAGGGAGGCCCTTTTTGTCATTTTCTTTTTTCTTTAGAGTTTATTCTTCACTAATATTGTAATGCTCACCCTTTCCTGACCAATTCCTTGGGGAGGAATTGGGGTTAAACATACATGTCAATTACATATATATATTCAATTACATATATTTTAATGGCATTTTGGGAAGAGTCATGGTTAAACAAAATGGGTCATGTTTATCTGGAAATTTATTACTCTTCTTCCATTTTAAAATAATCCTTTTCATGTGTTTATTTTTACTGAAGCTTTATATGTCAAGATCTGAGGAAATGCCATCAGAACTTTGATTAGTGTGAGTTACTAAGTAAGAAAGTTAGCCCATATGCTGTGTATTCTTTGGGCTTTGTGTCAAGTCACTGCTTTCAATTTAGTTTTGGTTCTCCAAAATGATTTGGTGAATTTGAAAAAGCAAGAAGAATGAAAACTGTAGAGGTGAGGATTTACTGCTGTAGAAATCATTTAAAGTCATTGATTAAATATTTAATTCTTATTTTAAACAAATATACTTTATCACATGGCATTTTTTAAGTGAAACTTTGAAAGGAAAATCACAATTTTCCTCAGATTAAGAAAAAAAATCAATGACACAATGACTTCAACACAAAATTTCAAAAATTGATGTAAAATATTTAAAAAATAATTCATACTGTGACTATCATAAATGTTGTAGTTTTCAATTTTTTATAATATTTGACACACAATTTTTACAGATATAATTATGTTACCAAATATTTAACTTGATTTTTATTTTCTTGATTTATTTTCATATTTTTCTATATTTCTACATGATCTTTATCGTTTTCCTTATGAATGGAGCTATAGTAGTTCACACATATAGTAGATTCATTCATTCTGCTGCCAGTTAGTTTTCTCTTAATAAGAAATAATATTGCAGTAATGACACATCCAAGAATATAGTCTTTTTTTCTATTTGGATTATTTTATCAATATTCTGAAAGTGTGATTGGGTCATAGTAAACTAGAAATTGTTTTTGTTCTTGAAACCTGTCTTAACAATATATAAACACAACCTTGTAACCTTTGTGCACAATAGAGTATTTCCTTGTAATTCCATAAAGTGAATTTAGTTCAGATTTTTTATCTTTCAGTAAGATTGTACAAATTTATGTTTCCAGAATATAAAATACTTTCTTCAAATCTTTGGCAACACAGGATATAATCATCATCAGGGTCGTGTGTGTGTGTGTGTGGGGGGGGGTGTCTGTGAGAGTGGGGGGGTGGTAAGGAAATAATTTGGAAAAAAGAATAGAAAGTCCAAGAAATTTGATAGGCAGGAGACCAAAGAGAGAACATTGTGGGTAAGTCAAAAGAGATAGGAAAATCAGAATCAAATGTTACAGAGGACAAGGGAGAAAAGAATTTCAAGATTAGCAGGGAAGTAATATAGTTGGCACTTTTTTAGCTTTTAGCAAATCAATCATTTTTTGTAGTCTTGAGCATTTCTACAAACCTATTAAGTTCTTTTTAATATGTTACATTTTAGTTATAATTTGTCCTTGTTAGGTTGCAAATACTCATACATATTATGACTTTATTTTAATGTCCTAGCAATATAATCTCGATATTTATAGTCCATATTTGTGTGTATACTTAGTTATGCAGGGTATTTTATTCCCTGGGTAAACTCTTTTTAAATGGAATTTTATACTCCAAGCACTGCAGGCAGGCATTCCTTCCCCCAAGCCCCCGCCTCCAGATGTTGCTGCCTCTCCTCCCCAACACATTGCATTATTTCTGATTGTCAGAATTTTGTCTTTTGAAGGTGTTCGGTTTGGAAGAGACCTAGAACATGGACATAAACAACTATAATGTGGGAAAACTGTCAATCTTAAGGAGATGTAGCAAAAGTGACATAGAGGAATAGTTTTTATACTGCCTAGAATACTGTACTATCATTTGTCAGTAGCTTAGTTGGAAATAATTCTAACCGAAAACTATTACCTTTATTCATTCCCTTCCCCCCTGAATTTCACTTAATAACTGACTATGCATATTTTCTGTGGTTCTTGCTAGTCTTGACAACTAGCTTATGAGCTATTTGAGGGCAAGTACTGGCTCTAATTACGGGACATCTAGCAAGCACCAAAAAAAAAAAAAAAAAGCTTAGAGATTTACATTACTAATGAGTCATGCTTGCCTTTTGATTTGAAATGCTTTTAGTTACTTACCACTAACTAGCTTGTGCCTTCTCTCTCAGGCATATTTGCACCTCTCTCAAAGATAAGTAAAGCAAAAGATCGAAGGAAGAATATAGTACACACTTCGTCTACAAAAGCTGCTCCTCTCATACGGTCCCAGAAAATTGATGTAGCGCATGTAACATCGAAAGTAAATACTGGTAGGTCAAACCAGAAAGTTCAGTATTTTCTTCAGCTTTTCTTATGTTATTTGTGGGATTCATTATATTTTGATTGCTTCATCCTTTTTTATAAGCTAACCAGTAAAAACTGAATTGAATAAATTTAACAAAACCTGCATCCTGTTTTTAAACCTCAGTCATAGTTTATGATTTTAATTTTTGTTAAAAGTGTTTCAGCTTTGTTGTAAAAGCCATGCCCTAAATCCAGTATCTAAAAAGAAAATCTGCTATATGATTAGAACATACACACCAATGAAACCACATCTGGTTGCACATCCAACTGAGTGTGCACAGTCATAGTCAGCTGTATTAGGCTAGCTTTACCTATAAGCATCGTGCAAACACACTGGTGAGTTAAGGATCATACATTAGGATCAAACAATCAGGCAACCTTGAAATGGTTTCTGTATTATTTAGAATTCCTTAGCTAATTGTTAAATAGGCTTCAAAGATTCTTTAGTCTGATTTGGGGAAATTGAGGTTTTCATATGGGCTGAGAGTGTTCTTTTCTTTTGCATTTGAATGATGAAATATTGGGTCCTGCTCTCTGTGAGTTTCTCTTCCAGCATGTTCTCAGAAGTGGATAAGGTTTAGATGATGAGGAATGTCAGCTTTTTAAATAGCAAATACACTCTTATGTTTAACGTTAAAAAAAATTCATTTGCTGAAAATGTTTTTTATCTGTGTCCTAGGGTTAATGACATCCAAAAAAGATAGTACTTCTGAATCCACACTTCCATTGCCTCCTGGTGGAGAATTGAAAACTGTAGCAGAGAAAGATGGTAATATAATCTTCTATTCTCAAGATTTAATTTACTGATGGAATTTTAAAATAATAATGATATAGTTTATGTGGGGTCTAAGTTTTGAAATTTGTAAGGGACAAATCATTATGGTAAACATTACCCTTGAAAATCCCTTCAGCAGCTCATAGTGAAGCACACACATTTGTACCTGGCTCTTTCTGTAAAGTATTGTGCTATGATTTTTAGTATGTGGATGAAAAGTTGAAACACTAAAATGAAATCTGTAGTGCAGATGACTTGGTAACAATGTTTAAAGTTGCTTTGACTGTCAAATCCTTGATTATTCAAAAGTACACCTGCTTGCTTTCAAGACAATCAAAGCATGTTAATATTAAACTTTTGTTACCTAAAGACCTATTAACAATTTTTGTATAATTAAGATGGGATCTACTGTCATCTAAAGAGGTGAGAGACAGTGGTGGTGAGTAGGTAGTTTAAATTAATTGATGTGACAATACTCTCTTAGGTAAGATTGTCACCATATAGTGTGACTCCTCAAAACACAATTGTTTTGCTATAAAATCTTGTGTGTACGAACTGTGATATATTTGGGTGCAATCAGACATTCAACTTAGCTCTAGACAGTCCATATCTGAGGACGCCAGAGGGAGCTTTTCAGAGGGTTTACCTGGAAACCTGTCATTGGTGCAGCTCTTCCCCCTCCTCTGATGGCGCCTTTTCCTTTCCCTGTTTTAGTTACACTGCTCGGATCCATCAGCAGCTCCTCCTCTACATCTTCCTTGGAACACAAACAGAGCCACCCCAAGAAGCCGAATGCAAGTAGCAATAACAAGAAGACGATGAGCAAAAGCTCCTCTGTTTCATCTCGAGCCAGTGCTGGTATCTATGGCTTTTTCAACCAGGCTTTCTTGGTGTTTTTTATCTTGGTTTGTTTGTAAGTAGATTTGCTCTTTTTAAATGTATAGAAGGATCCCTTTATTTCATTCAGCTTGAACTACTTGTACTCCTCCCTGCCCCCTACTGCCCCCCACTGTTGCCCTCATGTCAGCCTTCCCTGGAGCTCTCTGCCATTTTCTTGTCTCAATTAACTTATTCTCTCCCCCTGTATCTGAGTCCTCCGATCCTTTAAGGTTCATTTTAGAAATTCATGATTGCGCCTCTGATGCTTGGAAACTGTACCATTGTTCTCGTTCTTTATGGTTTAATCTCATTTCTAATCTAAACCCAAGAATACTAACTAACCTGTATTGTAGACTTAGTCTTCTCGGTACTTTACACACCTTATTTCATTAATTCTCAAAATTAAGCCCATTATGGTCAATCTCATTTTATGAGTAAGGAGCCGAGGCTGAGGAATGTGAGTCCTGCTGCACAGTCACACTGTGCGTGGCACGCCGGCTTGCCCTCAGGTCTGCCGAGGCTGTCCCTGACGCTGTCACATTCCAGCTCCCTGCCAAGGGCCCGCCTCTTTTTCTTATCCCCATGGTCTCCAGCCCCCTCATGGCCGGCTGATAGCTGCCCATCATTATTACAAGACCAGTCTATGGCCACCCAGGCTATTTGGGGACCGCACTGTCTTATTGGCTCCAGTGGAGCTTCACGTGAGGTCTCTTCATTTTGTGTGTTAGTGGAGGACTTTACATTTATTTTCATTTAGTTTAATCTTAGGAGTTTCCTCTGATCTGAATTTTGTTCCTGCATCTTGCCTAGTTTTTTCACATACCTTTGTGTCATTTTCATATTTGAAAAACATGCCTCAGCTTTTTACCCAAGTCATTGTTTAGCACTAGTTAGGGGAGAGGCAGAGACACTCCCAGCCTGGCTTAAACTAGCCATAAAGTCCACATAATCCCATTCATTGTCCACATGCTGCAGTTATGTGGAAGGAGATATCAAGCACATTATCAGATTTCTGGTTGAAATCAACATGTTGAATTTATTGCAGTTCTCTTATTTACGTAATAAACTTGTCCAGAAAGAAAATGACACCATTTTGACATAAACTGCTTCTAATGAACCTCATAATAAAAACCAGATTCTTTCCCCAATACTTTTAATAGTCATGTTGAACCAATATTTAATATAGAAAATGTTCATGACAACATTTTTTTTCTCTTAAAAAAACCCTAAAAGTATGGAAGCTAGAAGGTTTGCCAGAAGTTGTTTACCTAGAATATTTATTTTCTGACTAGCTCCCTCTCCTGCCCCAGCTTGCCCCTAGTGCCGTGGGGAGCCGGGGTGGGAAGGGGCAGGGATGCAGCAGCCGTGTAAGGCCTCCTTCATTTGGAGTCTGGGCTTTTGACACATACTTGATTTGAAGATTTTTATGTGGGTTTGGCATTACCTTTTTATCCTTTTTGAGCAGTAGTTCTAGTGTACCTGTACGTTTACCTTTTTTTCCATTTAATAAATTCGAGGGGTTTGTTGACCTGCCATAGTAAAGATGCAGAGAGTTATCAATTAGAGTGCCGAAGAGGCATCTGAGAAGGGCAGGGGGAACAGAAGGTACGTGAGAGGAAATGCGTGTGTGGAGCCCCAGACACATTTCTTTAAGATGGTTTTCTTGTGTGAGTAGGTATTCCACTTTGCCTTTAGACTGGCATTTGAGGGAGATGTGGACAGGAGAGGGTGGAAGTTTGGGATAGAGAATAGAGGAGGGCCTGAAGGAATGGGTTAGGGGAAGGAGCCAGGCAGGGAAGGAAGTCTGAGTTCTCAGCCTCATTGTGCCCCTTTGTTGAACGTGCAGTCCTGGGTCCCCTGTCTGCGGATGCCCTGGGGACAGGCCTGAGGAGTTCTGGCTCCGGGTCTGAATGTTAATCCAGGTGCCACCCGCTCTCTGAACACCAGGCCTCTTTGACTCCCTGAGCTTCTGTCTGACCTGTACTTATAATTCTCATGAAAGCATTTTGTAAACCGTGGAGTCCTGTGAACATCCATCATTCCGAGGCTCAGGGCTTCCTGCCACAGCTCTCTGTCCAGATCCTCCTCCTCCTCCTCCACGGTTATGCTCCTCTTCTGTTGCCATGTTGTAGTTTCTTGCCCTTTATGACAGAGTGGCTTGTCCTCCCGTACAGCTCTCTTAGCCTCCCAGGTAGCCACTGCTGCCATCATCTCTGCCAAGGACTGGGGCATTCTCCCTATGTGTCTTTCACCCACATGTCTCCTCAAGTATTCCTTCCAAGTGTCTCCACACATCTCTGCTCCATGTGTCTCCTCCCATGTGTCTCCTCCTCCAGCTTTACCAGGGTGCAGGTCAGAGCCGAGAAAGCAAGGGAGTCCAAGCGCGCACGGGTGTGTTTGGTTGTAAGGCAGGCGTGGCCACTTAACTTTGCCCCTAGATCCCAGCAGCACTGCCCCCAGCGGGAGGCCAGGTTCATGGTATGCTGGTAGTTGTATTTCTGGGTGCCTGAGATCTCTTCAGTGAAGAGAGAGGTGGGAGTATGATGTATCCCCAGTGAACAACTAGCTTCCCTAGGCCGGGGAGTGACAGGCTATGTAGCCCACAGGCCAGCTGTGCATTACCACCTATTTTTGTAAGTAAAGTTAAATAGAACCATGCCATGCCCTCTTTGTGTCTGCTTATTACAGCAGCAGGGCTCAGTGGTTATGACGGATGGTGTGGCTTGCAAAACCTAGAACAGTTGCTTTCCAGACTTTTACAGAGAGCTTGCTGACCTCTGTTCTAGAGAGAGTGCCCCAGGGCCAGCCCGAGAGTTAGTGTACCAGGAATGGAGGGTGTGACATTCCCAATTATCTCAGGAAACCTTTCAGATTTAGCTTGAGTAGCTTGATCTCACACGTGGGAAACACACTGTGGATGGTGTATGCAGTGAAAGGCATCAAAGGTTGAAATCTCTAGCTCACAAAGCTGGTTAAAACACATAGTGATTTTTTTGGTTAATGTGCTTTTTGAGGTCTTCTTTTCCCATTTGCTTGTTTTTTTCCTTTTTTTTTTCTCTTTTCCCTTTCCCCTCCCCCTGCAACCAATGAAACAGGTTTGAATTCCTCAGCAACATCTATAGCAAATAATTCCCGCGGAGAGGGAGAACTCCACGTTGGAGACAGAGTGTTGGTGGTAGGCCAGAGAATCGGCACCATTAAGTTTTTTGGGACAACAAACTTTGCTCCAGGTATTCATCTGTGTATTCTTTGCTCAATTTGAATTCTTTAGGCTGCGACAGATTTCACATTGTACACGTAAATACAATTTAATTATAAAGCAATCTTCATCAACAGTTGTTGTGGATGGTTAATGAATAAAACTCAGTCTGTTTTTAGTCAGGTTGACTTTTACTCACAGAATTTTCTTGCCATTGTGTTTTGAATTGTCTAGTATTAAATTTGTTGTTACTCTCCAGTTTTACTCCATTGATTGCCAAGTGTGCTAAATGACAGGGAAAACATGTCAGGATTAGATTTTTGCTTCAAGCATAATCTTTCAAGTGAGTAGCTAATCAGTTAACTGTGTATAGTGTTTATCGGGGGCGGGGGGCTTGGTGAGAAAAGCACACAAAAGGGTTCAGAGGAAAGTGAGGAGGCTCTTGACCCTGGGGCCTTAAAAGTACTGCTTATGTATTCATTCCATTCTAGACTTAATGCTGGGTTTCTGAAAGTAAAGATGGTCTTCCTTCTGCATTTTCAGTGATGATGCCTTCAAATAGAAAACAGTTGAATGAAGCCATGTTTATATGTTTTAAACAGCAATATGCTATTTTGACACATGGTGGCATTGCAGCATTTTAGGAAACGGTTACCTCGATCACTGACTTTTAAAAGGTCTCTAGCAATCTGTCAAGAACTGTGAGGGATCTGAGATCCTGCCTGAGTTGCAAGGAGGAAGTTTAATTGCTGTAGCTTCCTGGATGCTGCCACTCGGTCGTGGGCTCCTGGGTCAGAGACAGAGGACAGTGGTGTTCAGAGCAACAGCAGTGCCCAGAGGATCAGCATTTTCCTGCATTGGTTAGCTGAGCCCTGGTTCCCAGAAGTTGTGACAGAGCAGGCCAGGTGACGCCGGTGCACTGCGGGTCATGCTGCGCAGAGGAGCCCTGAGAGTAAGGAATCTGAACCTCTGCTGGACCATAAACATGGTTAGTGCTGTTTTGTGATGCTGGAGACGGTCTCTGTCCTCCCACGCTGTCCTCGCCTCAAACATCCATGAGAAGACAGCAGCTGTCTGCAGACACCCAAACACGAGCGCCATGGAGACCTGCCTCCCAACACATCTTTGTTTCATGAACACTTGTAATTGCAGCCCGACTACATGACTTCGGAGGGTTGTGTTTTGTCATTCATGTCTCTCTTGGGTCTCCAGGTAGCCACTGTGCTTAGTTAGGTGATTCTTGATAAAATTCTTGTAGTGAAAACTTAGGAATCCCGAAGGTAGGTGGTATTTCACAGTCACCGTAGCTTTTGAGTTCCTGTCTCTGACTGTAGTAGACAAGGCTAGGATGTTTGATTTGTCATCATTTTAGATTGACTTTTAATTTTTCAGTTGCTAGTGTGAAGCATTCAGAAATTTGGGAAGTAATAAGCAAACATAATAAAAGTTGGAAGCTTTGTTAAAGTCATTCTGCCCTTTTAGAGAATAGTAGCATATTTCTGGTGAGAGCAAAATTAGATTGACCATTTCTGTAGAATAGTAATAAAGAGGCTTTTTGGTGATTATAAGACCTAGACCAAAGAGAGGTCCTATCTAGCTCTTAAGCATTTTTATCAGTGCTGCTGAAAGAAAATGGCCATTTCAATGGGAAGGTATCTGTGCCTGTAGATACCTGGAGAGATAGTGTCTCTGTGCTACTTGTGACACTGTTTGCTGATGTTTTCAAGATTTAGATGGTAAACATTTGGCAATGGGAAGGTGCAAAAATGATAGAGGGAGGCATCAAAAGCAGAAGGAAGTAAAACTTGGAGAACTGTGACTAAGCACTTGGAGATGTAACACTGGCAACCAGACTAACCTGGTTAATGACATTCAGAAATGTGCTGACCTATTTTCAGAGCATTATTGTGGCTACACAACCTGTTTGTACACATTACTCTGTAGGTGTGTACATAGTGGGGCTGATAAGGTATAGGCCAGGTGCGTGGGAGGGTGAGAGGATTCACCAGAGACAGAGTGGGGAACAGAACAGGTAGACTGACTGAAATATACTGCTGAGGGGAGCAGCGGGCGAGACAGGAGAGGTCTGCTGTGCCATGTGGGTAGCTCTCTGGCTGCCTGGGGATCGAACTCGTGCTGCTGAAGCTGCGGAGAGATTCATAGTGCTGTGCTCAACCCTTTGCACCACCAGGGAGGCACAATATCCTAATTTTTTATATGATCCTGATTGTGGGGGACCAAATACAATTACTACTGTATTTTCCTTTTAAGTTTAAAAAAATGAATGGACTATGGGTTTTTTAAATTGGTTTTGTGGTCCCCACCATTTGAGAATCCTAACTCTAGGAGTTTGTGTCCATTCACTTGATATTTACTGCACGAAAAACAACCTCACTATTTTAATTTTAGGCTCTGTAGAAAAAGGAAATATTATTGCTTTCTTCTGAGTGGGCCCTTTTAAATACTTAAAAGTCTTTTAGGAGATTCTTCTCATTAGCTAACCTAAATCTTTTCATTTAGTTTAAAAATGATTTTTCATTTCATCTTGGATAGAAAAAAAAAAAAGACTAAGAAGAGTTACCACGGTGTCTAGTCTTTTTCCCCATGTTATTTTGTCCTTCTTAAATTATTTAAGACCTGTTTTTGTGGTTCTAATGTTGGGAGAGTAAAATAGAAAGATTGCATATTCATTTTATGACTTACGCATCTCAATATTATGCTGCACTTCTCTGACTTAAGCAGCACTCTGTTACCAAGTTAAAGACAGCTTCTCATTCATTAGCTTTTAGATATTTTTGGTCAGACACCGCTCGCCTAATAGTTAATCCTTGCCAAATTTGTGTTTGCGCATTTTAGCTTCCTCCCTTAATGTACTACTCTGCAATTAGGGTTGTCAAATGTTTTTCCTGTTCACTTTTCAAGTTTTATTTTATAATTTTATCATTTGAAAGCTTAACGATCATGATGATTATCCATCATTTTGGTCATTTGTGAAAATGTTAAACCATCTTAGACTTTGGATTTGTATAACAGCCTAACAATTTTGGATAAAGTGAAGATAATTTTAATCCATCCCGTGTTCTTGTTCTAGGATATTGGTATGGTATCGAGCTTGAGAAACCCCATGGCAAGAATGATGGTTCAGTTGGAGGTGTGCAGTATTTTAGTTGTTCTCCAAGATATGGAATATTTGCTCCCCCATCCAGGGTACAAAGGTGAGAAAAATGGCATGCCTGTTTATTCCCAAGAACTTTTTGTGCTTGTGATGGTTTCGAGTTAAGAGTTCCTAGTTTTGTACTGGGGACATGCGCTGACTACAGTTCATGTCTTCTTTCAAGGGGTTAACCAACCACCTTCTTCAGAGAGAGGGCTCATGGAAAGCTAAATTTGCTTTGCTGAGGATTTGCAATTTTAAAAACCTCCTTTTATTCCTCATTTGCAAACCCTGTGAGTATGTGTAGGCTATTAGAAGTGGCGTTTGCAGCTAAGAACAGTGAGAGCAGCAAGCTTAATCTGTCATGCAAACAAAAGTAAAAATGCTCTCTGATTGCTTCAGTCACATCCTAACTACATTAAATTTCCTGCCAGCAGGCACCCCATTCATTCTCCTACAAACCTAATGGAACCAAAATGGCTTTTTCCTCTGATTTCTTTAGTTTTCAAAAATAGATAGGCAGTAGATCTTTGGGGGAAGTGAAGCTTCAAGGATTTATATGTAATATACCTCCTCAGTGTTTCTTCTAAAGGTAGCACACTTCTGTGCCAGCTTTCTGTGGTTTTGAAAAATAAGTTGGGCAGAAACAAGACCTCTTGAAATCCCAAGTATCATTATTTGAAATGATGTATGTGCTGAAAAAATTAACTTGGCATACTTTTCAGTGCTTGGAACATGGGATGCTAATATTTAAATATGAAATAGCATATGTGGTGTAATCATGTTCATAGCAATAAATCAGTAATCACAAATTTGGAGTTCTGTCTGGTATTCTTTCAACCAGGCCAATTGCTGCCTCTGATTGGCAAGTCTATCAGTTTTTATAGTCATTTTCTGTTTTTCTTATTGATTAATTACATGTATTTTTTTTATTTCCTTCTTTTGTGATAGAATTGATATTTTTTCCTTAATTATGATAAAAAGCACTTATCATATCATACCCTGCTGTTTAGAAAGTATCGTCAATTAAATGTTATTTTATTTGAGTCTCATAAATATTTGGTTAAGAAAGCTGGAAAATAGCAATAACTACTGCAAAACTTATTGAGAATTTAGTAAGTGGCAGGCTCTGTACTATGGCTTTTAACTGCCCGACTCATCAATTCCCTCCCCCCTCCCAAACCCAGCAAGGTGTAAGGTGTTCTGATCATTGTCATTTTGCAGGTAAAGAACGTTGCCAGAGGTAGTCACTTACCTAAAGTCATATACCTAGAGTAGAGAGAGCTTTTCCTCTGGGTGGGCGGGTGGGTGGGATTTCGATGAATTAAACTGGCAACAGATAAACAGGAGAAAAGGCATGCACATTTACTAAATTCTAATCTTACATGCCTGTGGGAGTAATACTTAAACGAGTACCCAAAAGAGTGGTGAGATTGGAGCATTTGTAGAGAAGGGAGAGTGAGAAAGGCCACTGAGGGGAGAGAGCAAGTGACTCTTAGGGAAGAGACTGGGTCCTTAGGAACAGGTTGGGAGACACAGTACAGTTTATGACCCTGTCCGTGTGGGTGGGGTGCTGGCTTCCCCTCTCCCCTCTGGTGATGAGACACTCTTCCCTAGTGATGAAGCTCCAGAGGAGGGAACTTAAGACCATGGAGTTCTTTTTTGTTTTGTTTTTTAGAAGTTCTGTTTTAGGCAGATACAGGGAGTTCAGAGAAAGCCACTTGCTGCACTTGGTGACCCTCGGGTGTCTTGATGGGGCCGGGGGGGCGCATATTTTGATCGCCTACACTAGTTAGTCAGCTACTGGTGGAGCTGGACTCAGCCAGGTTTGTTATTTTGTTGTCCCCCCCCCACCCCCCGTAAGCCTTTGCTTTTAGATCATTTGCCCCCTTTTTTGGTAATTGTGAGGCGAGCAGGTAATTGCTTAGGAACCACGCTTGTGATACGCCAGGCCAGGCACTATCTGAAGTGCTGGAAGTGTGTTTGCCCCTCTGCAGCAGCCCGGGGGTCAGGCGCTGCGATCGTCTCTCTCACAGGAGAGCAGAGGAAGACTTAGAGAGGTTAAGTAATCGTGCAAGTGTGCACAGCTCCGGGGGGTGGGGGTGGGGATTTGAACCCAGGCAGTCTCATATCAAAGGATGCGATCTTAATTAGCCATTGCTCTGTAATGGTTATGAGAGACTCTGACCCCCTTCAGGACTGTATCTTACAGATGATTGATTTGGGAGTAAAATTCATGTGGAGTCACCAGCCTTCTGGGTCCTCATATTACTTTGGATGCATCTTCATCAACTCCTTGCTCAGGCCCCTGACACCTTTGATGTGTCTCTTAGACATGCGGAAGGGGCGGGGGCTGCTCTTCCCGTGTGCCATTACCAGGGAAATATAGTTTGGCATGTTGCAGACATTGCACAGTAAACATTGATCAAATCTAGTTCAGTGCTTTTTGTGCTGTAACAGCTTTTCTTTTTTATATTGTGAAACTGCGTTCTTTCTCATGATTTCATCGTTTTTCCCCCTTGCCTTGCTTATGAAACCTGGTTTTTTGTTTTTTTTTTGTTTGTTTGTTTTGCTTTTTTTTCTTCCCCCTCCCTGGACTTCTATTTGGTCTTCTTTAAGGTGATTAATTTAAAAGCAGCCCCCTCCTCTTTAAAGAAACAGACTGTCTCTCTAAATGAACTGCTATCTCGATCCAGCTGTCTTCCTGTCATCTTCTGATTGTCTCATTCATCACCATCAAATACTATTAAGTGTCTTTTAGCACTTTGTGCTGTGCTAGGCATTCTATAAGCAAATAAAACAGACATGGTCCCTGATTTTGAGGAGTTTCTAATTTAAACCAGCTTTGGAGCTCTTTCAAGACACTACTGGTCTTTACAAAGGAAGAATTTTAAATGAGGGCCTGCTCGAGGGCGGTCATAATAAAGTGGAGCCTTTGCGCAGGCTCACCTTGCTCACAGGCCTCCCTAGATTGTAACTGGCCTTTCCCTTCTATTTAAAAAATGCGCCTCTTGTCCCAGAGCTGTTGCACATGTTATTTCCTCTGCTGTCGCCCAACTTCCATGTAGTTCATGCCTTTTCTTCTATTTACATATAAACCAGCTGTTATTTCTCTAGAGAAATTATAAGAAAACTCACTGACTAGACGTAATATTTCTATTCCCCCGTCTCTATTTTTTGCTCAAGTGGTCTTCATTAGCATGGTGTTCATTTTCACACTCTTGTTTCTCACCATTAGGTATTTATTACTAATGGAATGGATCACTTTTAGAATTAAGGTCTTCTCAACTGTCTGTCACCACTTAATTCGAGTGTCTTTCCTCTTTATCAAGTCATATTCCTTGTGTTCATCAGTCTCTCAGTAATGGCTATATGTTGTATATCATGTAAAAATTATGCATATAAATTACAAGGTGAAATTGCAATATTGCAAGAATTGCAGGATTTCTTGACAGTGGCAGAGTATGCCAGGGAAAATGATTGACAGAATGAAGTCTTGGCAGATTTAGGTCAGTAAACAATGGAGAGAAAATAAGATTGTTAAGGTTGGCTCTTTTAAAAGAAAAAATGATTTGGGTATCAAAAAAAAAAAGACAAATGTGTTTAGAAAGTGACCTTTCTGGTTGTGCTTACAGTAAAATATATAAAGTAAAAGCTGTTGAATCGTGTTAGCCATACAATTGTATGACAGACAGACTCAACTGCTGCCTTGTTTGCAATTTAAGAATTAGTGATAGTTCTACAGTTATAATGTAACATATGTCAGTATGTTAATATGTTAATATGAAATAAATTAACTTTCATTTTCTTAGTTTGATCTTTGAAGATAAGATGCCAAAGAAATAAAATCAGGGCCCTTATTTTTAGTGAATTAATTTTAACTTTTTTTCAGTACTATCTTTTGATAGCAAGGGCCTCTTCTCTTTGTTTGCTCTTTGTCTCTGATGCTAGATTGACATTTATTCCTGACTCATAATAGATGCTCAGTAAGTGTGTGCCCAATGGGTGAAATAAGAAATAAACCTTGGCCTGAGAAGCTCAGTTAAGAGTCCGTCATAACTGTGAGAAACGGCTACTTGTAATGAGCTGTGCATTGCTTGTTTTTTTTTTTTTTTTTTTTTTTTCCCACAGAATGACAGATTCCTTGGATACGCTCTCAGAAATTTCTTCAAATAAACAGAATCATTCTTATCCTGGTAAGACCACACAATTTTATTCCTAACAATTATGCCTTTCCTTTTATTTATTTAAAAATGTTTATTGGAAAGGGTGTATGTATACAAAAGAGTGCACAGAATGTGTTTGTAGTGTTCATTTAATTGTAATCAGACACAGGTTGCCCCTCACCCCAACCCCTCCCACGACTGGCGGTGTTGGTTACCTGTGACCCAGGGTCCTTCAGCCAACTTTGAAGCCCTCAAGCCTGACAACCCACAGCCTCTTCTGCCTCCCTTTTTTTTGTTAAATACCGCATCCTTAGGGTATGAGTCTTGAATCATATGTTCATTATTCCTTTGTTTTTCTTTATGTCTTTTTCACTTTAGACTTATCAATGAATCATATGTTTACTTTTGATTCTTTGCTTTTTTTAGTGTTGCTTTGAAATATGCTACTCGTTCTATACTTGATGAATATTTGAGTTATATCCTGCTTTTTTTTTTTTATGATTATAAGCTATGCTATCATGCACCTTTGCAAAAGCTTCTCTAGATGTTGCCAGCACAGGTGACCCTTGTCTTCAACCTGTTAGGGAAAGCCAGGCTGCCTGCAGTGCTCTCTGTGGCTCCTCACCACACCAGCACTAGTCTTGTTTGATTAAGGAAAATTTGCTAATCTCATGGATTTAAGTGGCTTCTCACTGTGGGGTTTTTTTTTTTGTTGTTGTTGTTTGTTTTTTTCATTTTATACATTTTTTATGTCATTTTTCATTTTTGCACAATGTATACATTTTCATCTTGGTTATAGTCCCCATACAATTCCCCCCCACACTTGCCCTGATCCCACTCTCTCCTCGCCCCCCCTGCAGTATGTCTCTGGTTTATAGTTGCTTGTTGATTTTGATTTTTACTTCATTATAATTAGTCTTTTTCCTGGTCCCTTATTTAGGTTTTCTAAATTCCTGCTATGAGTGAGACCATTGGGAAATAAGCCAGAAAGAATAATACCAGCTGGTCTCACCCACTGTGGTTTTAATTCACATTTTCCAGGTCGTGACTGAGGCTGAGCCTATTGTCATGTGTATGGGCCATATGCATGTCCTCTTTTACTTGTGATGTGCCTGTTCAAGTTTCTTGCCCATTTTTCTTTAGGGAGCCTTGTCTCTATATCTGATTAAACTTGTATGCTCTTTATTTTGGACACTAATATGCTGTCATTTATTGATGCTATTTTATTTGTTTTCTATTTGTTCAGCTTCCTTATATAGTTTTTCTTTCTTGATTTTACTCTTAACTGTATTTCTACCGCCATTTTTTCCATTCTGTTCTCCACTTGCATAAAAGTTATACCCTGAATATGCTTCTTAGTACCAAACTACAGGTACTTTGACATACATACTTAGCAAAGTTTAAAGTTAATCATTAATTTTATTCTTTCCCAAATAATAGAAACAATCCTTAGAAACAGTTACTAAGGTCTTCTATTTTATTCTCCCTTTGGTCTGATGATAGTAGTTTTCTATAATCAGTGTTTAATCAATATTTATCTAATAGAATCATATATTGACCAATATCTGTAGTAATTAATTTTCAGAACTTCTGCTTGTGTTAGCTTGTACATTTTTTAAAATTTCTTTTAGAAAGGGTCTGTTGGTGGCAGACTTCACAGTTTTTATTTGTCTTTTCTAATGATAGTTTTACTGAGTAAACCTAAAAATTGGTAAAAATTTTTGTTTGAAAGCTGTTTTCTCCATGCACGTTGACAGTGTAATCATACTATTTTCTGTCTTCTGTCATTTTTTTCTGAGAAGCCAGCTATAAATCTATCTAATTCATTCTTTGAAAGTGTTCTTTTTGGACTGCTTTTAAAGATTTTTCTCCATTTTTGTTGTTCTGTACAGTTTCTCTGTGATGTGTGTAGGTGGAGGCTTCTTTTTGTTTATCCTGTTTGGCTTCATGGGTCTTCCTGGATCTGGGAATTGGTATTTTTGATCAATTCTATAATATTCTTGTCTGGATACTTCAAATATTCCTCCTTCATTCTTCTTATTCTTTCCTTCTGAAACTTGATGAATAGTCTAGGAAATTTTTCTCAGGTCTTTTTGATATTTTTTTGCAACTTTGTCTCTCTGGGCTGCTTGCTGGATATCTTCAGATTTATTTTTCTGCTTCCTGACTCTTTCTGCTATGTTTATCGTGTTGCTTATTCCAGCCCTGACCTTTATTTAATGATAAAATTTTCTTTTTTTTTTCTTATGCAATTCTGTTTGGTTTTTACTGTTTATTCTTTCCTCATATTTCCAAGTTTTCTTTTATGTCTTTAAATGTTTAGAATATTGTTATATTTTATGTTAAATAATTCAATAGCCGAAGTCTCTGTGAATCTGATACCACCATCTGTTTCTGTTGAGCTTAACTCATGGCACCTTCCTTTCTTTATAGTTTCACCATTTGTTATTGTGAGCTGCGTCTTTTACTTAGAACGTTAGGCCACCGGGGAGGCCCCACAGAGTAATAATTTGAAAGAAATCATTTTCTGAGCAGTAGGTCTCAACAGTGAACTTAAAATATTCAACCATGTTGAAAACAGATGTGCTCTCACCCAGCCTTCCTTGTCTTCATTTATACAGCACAGGCAGAGTATATTTAGTATAATTTTTAAGGGCCCTAGAATTTTCAGAATGGTAAGCGAGCTTTGGTTTCAACTTCAAGTCACCAGCTGTTTCAACCCCCAACAAGGAAGCCTGCACATTGAAACTTTGAAGCCAAGGATTGATTTCTCCTCTCTAACTATGAAATTCCTAGATGGCATCTTCTTCTGATATGAATGTTTAATCTACATTGAAAATCTGTTTAGCCACCTTCACCATTTACATTAGCTGGTTCTTTTGTTTAACTTTACTCAGCTTCTACATCAGCATTTGCTTTTTTTCCCCCAAATAGGAAGCTTTATATTTAAAGGAACAGAGCGATGAGACTCAATAAATAGAAATTTGCTCAGACAAACTTGTTGGTATTTTCCCCCCCTTTAGGTGGAAAATATCAAATATCTGAGCAATGGTGGGGTGGGGAATATAGACACACCCCCCCCCCAAGGGTTACAAGGTGCCAAGTTGTGTATTAAACAGGTTGAATATATTCATTTTCTCCAGAAAGGGCTTCAGTGACATTTGTTAGATTTATTGCTAGGTATGTTAAACTTGCTTTTTCTGTTATAAATGGCATCTGTCTTCTTTTACTGATGCATAGAAGTAGAAGTTAGTATTTTTTTGTTTGTTTTTGTTTTTTGTTTTTTCTTTTTAAATTATTATTTTAATTTTTTACATCATTGTTCATTTTTAAACAATATTTGCTTCCCCCCGCCCCCTCAGGTGTAGTCCCCGTGGAGTTTCCTTCACCAGTTCACCTGTGCACCATCACCTCAGTCCCCTGTGCTCCTCCCTCCCTCCCTCTGACCTCTCTCCCACCTTCTCCCCTGCAGGATGTGATGGAGAAGACTTTTTGCCCTTATGTCTCATAAACCAGCCTCTGCTAACTTCAGACTTTTCTCCTGCAGCTTCCTTTCCCCACTCAGCCTTCATGGAATTGCAGGAAGTTAGGGCCTTTCTCTGGGCTTGACTTTGGCTTAAGGGAATGTTGTGGCTGGTTTGATCTTCTATCCAAACTACTAAAAGATTCTCCATATCAGCAATAAGGATGTTTTTCTCTCTTACCATTCATGTGTTCACTGGAGTAGTGGTTTTAATTTCCTTCAGGAACTTTTCTTTGCATTCACAGCTTGGCTGCTTGGCTTAAGAGGTCTAACTTTTGGCCTGTTTCTCAGCTTTCAACGTGCCTTCCATACTAAGCTTCATGGCTCCTAGCTTTTGATTTGAAGTTAGCTCTTCCTTTTACTTGATCACTTGGAAGCCATTGTAGGGGCTAGTACTTGGCCTGATTTCAATATTATTGTGACTAAGCGAATAGAGAGGTGCAAAGAGAGGGAGCAAGACAGGGAAGCAGCTGTTTGGTGGAGCAGTCGGAATATTCACATTTACCAATTAAGTTCACTCTTATAGCTCATGGAGCCTCAGACAGTTACAATAGTAACATCAAAGATCAGTGATCACAGATACCAGATATTAACAACAGCGAAAAGTCTGAGGTGGTGTGACATTTACCAAAATGTGACACAGGGGCTTGAAGTGAGCATGCGCTATTGGGAGGATGGTGCCAGTAGACTCAACTCTGCACGGCCACAAACCTCCCATTCATCAAAGGCCTTTGCAGCATCTGCCAAGCACAGTAAAGTGAAGCATCATCAAGAGGGGTATGCCAGTGTGGGAGAACCTGCGGGAGAAGCGATGAAAGGGAATTTTTTATAAGAACTGCAAATTTGTGAGTTATTTTTCCTCTTCTGACCTTAACTTTCCTATTTAGGTTTTAGGAGAAGTTTCAGTACAACGTCTGCTTCTTCCCAAAAAGAGATTAACCGAAGAAATGCTTTTGCCAAGTGAGTATTCAGAAGATTTAGAAAAACACCTTTCAAGATGAACATGATGGGATTCTGTGAAGGAAGAGAAGTGGAATTTTATATCTTTTGCATTGCTTGGTAGCATTTTAACACATAGGAGAAAAGGTGTGATGAGTGTATTGAGAAGAGTTCTTCCTCCCTCCTCTGCAAGCGCAATTAAAAATGTCACCAGTGACTAAAGTAGTGTGCTGCGTATATTTTCAGAGGTTTAGTGCTGTTAATAAAAGTTGGAGGAATTTGCATTTTGTGTTGTCACTGAATAGGGTGAATTGATTTTAAACTGTTTACTTCATTAGTCAGAGATTCAATTTAATATTTTCAGCAATACATGAAATGTCAGGCCTATTTGCATAAAGTAATCTTACTATTTAAAAAAAAGCTCCTGCTTCCTTTTGTGGATGCACAGATCAGAGCTTTTGTGTAGAAAATGTCCATTCTTGTTTTATAGTTATTTCCTCCTGACTCAATTTATTCCCCGTGATTGTTTTCTGAGAATTTTAGATTTTTTTTTTTTTTTTTACTTTTAGAGAAGTAAGAGACTTTTCTGAACTGATTGGGTTAAGGAGTTTTTGGTTTGGGAGTTTTTTAATCCTTCAATTTTATGATTAATGTATGGGGGAATAGAGGGCCTCCGAGTAGGAAAGTGAGCATCCTGGCCTAATATTAGGGGCCCTTGAAGGCCCTGGAAATGAGACCCCAAGCACAAGGACTTGACCCCCCAGCAGCAGGGAAGGTACATAGCGGTCAGGCTTAAGGGTGTCGGGGGACCCTTCTCAAGGACCTGAAATTTCCTTTGGGAACCCTGGCTTGTCCTGGGAGACCATTAAGTTCTATTTAGCAGGCTTGGCTAGGTCTTTCCCCCCCCTTTCTCAAAACCCTTACCAATTTTGAAGATTTTTGAAACTGGTCTTCTCACTGGAGTGGCTGAAAGAGTGTAAGGACAGTAACTTTATGCTCCAGTTTACTGAAGATTCGATTCAAGAGTTCTTAGGCAAAATGGAAGACATTACTGAGAAGAGACCGCCTGGATGCTCAGGATCCTGCAGGGGGAGAGGTATCACAGTCAGTGTCGAGAAGTTGGTGAGTGAAGCGCGTGACCCAGAAAGCCCCAAGCTGTGGCAGGGACACAGCAGGTATGGCGATGCGCAGGAGGGTCTGTTGGCTCAAGAGGAGGGTAGCAGTACTTACATTTATTTCCTTTGAAAATAAAAAGGAATGAAGCTGCACTGACATCGCTTCAGAGTGACACTACTGTTTTTAAACAAAGAAAGGAGAAATATACTTTTATTGAGGATATATAGTCAGTTTTTAAAACTCTTTCTGTAATTTTACCTATAGACCCAAATGTTTGGCGATCAGTGTTCCTGTGAGCCAAAGAAAGACGTTCGGTGTTGGCAGATGCTAGGAAATCTGTCCCTGATCAGCTCTACCCTGGGGTCCGGGGCATGTTCTGGTGACGGGAGGACCTTCTACTGAAGAGGTGGTGTTGACGGTGTGTCAGGATGGGCTAGTCTGAAGCATGATGTATTCTGAAGGATGTGGGTTGAAAGAGTGAGTTCCCTGGAGCTTCCCCAGCACTGTGCCATGTCTTGTATGTTCATGTGGAAGCGATCCAAGGACAGGGCAGGGGTCGTGCCTGCTGGATGCGTGTGCGGGAGAACCAAGGACAGAGGACTTAGCAGCCTACCCTGTCATTTCCATGTAGGCACAGGATTTGCCTTTCTAAATTGTTATTGGATTGGTAGCGATAAATGCACTTCAGTCAGTGGAAAAAATGACGGAGAAGGGTTTGGAAGTAATTGTCTCCAGAATTCTCTATGTAGCTAATATTCAGAATGGAATAATAAAGCTTGACACAGGCCTCACAGCCACCTGGTAGGCACAAGGCAGCTTCTTTTATACCATCTCCATCTGACCTGTGATGTGTTTCGCACCTGTGACACACCTCCTTCCCATCATTACTAACTTCAGCTCCTTCATGCTGTCAGTGTGCCTGCTCCAGGGTCTCCATTGGCTCCTCTCTGTGGAATTGAGCCTGTTGACACATGCTAGGTCAGCTAAATTTGAATGTCTTTAGGGAGAACTTATCCTGTTTGCCTATCCCTTCAGTCTTTCAAATTCTCTAACAGATCAGACTCCAGACTCATTTGGACCGGCACTCAGAGGTGTGCATGATCAGCTCCTGTCTGTGTTTTCCTGACTTCTCTCTCATGGTCCTGTCCTCATAAATTACCAGCAGATGGCTGAACTGTCTGTGCTGTTAAAAGAAAAAGCAAACACACATCTATTTTGCACCGATAGGACTATTTCTGCTTTCCTTTTCTGCCTGTTCATCTTGCAAGTTAGACCCTCCTCCCTGAATCCTTAGGAAACAGATTTCTTCTTCCTCTATGCTCATTCTGCACCTTGCACAATCTGTATTTTAGTTTCTATAACATTCTACTGATTATTCTGCACTAATTCCTAGAACCTAGCCCAGACCTGCCTTTTCCTAGGTGGTCAGTTAACATTTTTGAGTGAATAAAATGTAGTGTAATTCTAAATTTTTCATTTCCCTGGACTTTTGGAGCTTTGATATAGGCTGAATAAAATTATTCTAATTAGAATGTTAAGGCTTTACCCAAACCATTGATTTTTGGCTTAGACTTTGAATTCATTTTATTGCTTGGTTCTTTCTTTAAAAGCTTTTTTTGATTGTGAATGTTGATTGTATCAAATTTCAAAAATTGTGAAAAGTTAAATGCAGTTAAGATCACCTATAATTTTACCATCTAGTTGAGATTTTCACTGCTAGCATTTTGATATATGTTCCCCCATTTTTTCCCCTAATGCATGTATCTGAAATTTTAAAGCAATTTTGGACAAATCATATTTCATATACCCTTTGAAAACCTTCCCCTTAATATATTCCATATTCTTGAATATTTTTCCTTAGTGTGACTTTTGCATTTTTTTCAAAGACCATGCTGTGACATGAAACATTTTTATGCCATAATAATAAATGGAAAAAATAATAATTTAACTAATAGTAGATGCCAAACTTTTAGAATATCTAACAGACCTCTCCCCATTCCTCTGTATGTGTGGCCAGATAAATATCCAGCTTTGCTTTCTTTTAGTTCTTTTAATATATGCATTTAATTCTTTATTTAGAATGTAACATTCTAAATGAGTGTTAAGTATCCCTCCCCCCCCAAATAATTTGTATAGCATCCCTAATTAAATGTTGATCACTCCTTTCCCACTGATTTGAAGTTTTACTTTTTTTTTTTAAATCACATTCACAATGCTTTTTCTAAAGTATCTTTCCCAAAGATACATTCTTATGCCAGAACCACATTGTTTTAGTTATTGAAACTTTATAATTGAACATAACGGCAACATATAAACCTTGCCATTTTATTATTTTTCAGCTTTTTTCAGTCTTAAATACTCAATGTTGTGAGAGCCTGGCCTTGGGGCTTGGGCAGCCTTGGGTCAGAGCCCCAGCTCTCCCCTTTACCATCTCTCTGCTCTTAGGCAAATAGCTTAATTTTTCTGAGCTTCAAATTCAAATTCCTATTTGCTAGAAGGATGTAATATCTACATGACTGGGTTGGGTGAGGTTGAATGAGATAATAATGTAGGTGAAGTGTTTGGCACAGTAAGGACTCAGGATATGATAGATATTGTTCTTATTTATGTGAGATCTAGAGTAATTTTGTCAGGTTGCAAAAAAAATATCCCTTTGGGGAGATTTGGGTGAGAATTGACAAATATATGTTCCTATCCAGGAACAAAGCTCTTTCATTTTTCTTTTGTATGTTTCTCAGTAAAGATTTATACTTTTTCTTAGCGGTATTACATATTTTTTGTTAACTTTATCATTGTATTTGTGCCTTTGACATGGTAATAACTTTTTGCCATTGTATTTTTTTAACCAGAAATCTATCACCTTTGGCCAATGTGGCTTAGAAGGTCTTGGGTCCTCAGTTTTCTTGCCCATAAAATTAGAGTGCTTTGCTGTTCGGACAGGGTCTTGGAGAGACCTCTCCTTCTCATTAGAGAAAATGAGACATTGTGTGGGACAGTGTTTAAGAAAACACAGAAAGTAAAATAAGATAGAAAATCAGCGGGACCCAGATGCTGTTCGTGGTCAGCTGCCATGTCGTTTTGGTGCCGGGTTCTGTTTTGTACCCACAGTGGGGAGGGAAAGAAGTGTTTCTCCAGGAGGAGAAGGGGGTGTGGGCTGGGGCGAAGGCCCCAGGTAGCGCTGGGCGTCGGTGGTGGCTTCTGGAGAAGTGTTCTGGGTGTTTCAGGATATAGGGCCACACCATCCTGGGAATCCTCCTCAGGTGGGTGAGTTTGCGGGCCCACTCTTTCCCATAATGGCAGAGGGGACTCAGGGGTCCTGTGCGCTTGAGGCTGCAGGTGAATCCCCCTCTGGGTCCCTGTAGTTCTGCTGTCGGCCCAGGTGGCGGCTGGTGCTTGGCCGCACTTGATGCTTAACGCTGCGGAGGAGAGCAGGAGAGGAATCCTGCCCGCGGCAGTTCAGAGCCCCTTTGTTTCGTGGCGGGAGGGCGGTAAAGCCGGCAGATACAGGTGTTCTTCTGTGAAGACAGACCCCAAAGTTGGGACTTAGCAGTATTTTAAATTGTGTTCATGAAAACAGTGAACCAAAAGTGATTCTAGTTTACCACAGCCAAAAGGCTACTTTCTTCGCCTCTTGCTTCACTTGTCAGTGGTGTGGCCGTTAAATGGTGTGTGTGTGCCTTTTCTAATGATTTTACCTGAAGAGCGATGTATATATATCTAGAGGTAGATATATAAAACTGTGTGTGTGTATATACACAAATATAACTTTGTGTGTATAAATTGCTGTAGTTGCATGTAAAACCACAAATCCAGATCAGGATAGTATTAAAATAGCCAAAAGAGGAAAAAAAAAGTTTTTGAAAGTTAAAAACAGATGCTAATCCTGCTATTTAGAATTAAAAAAAAAAAAAAAAAAAAAAAGCTGCGCGCAGAGAGGCGCCTCCCGCGAGCGGAGGCCCCGCCGCCATCTTGAAGGCTCCCGCCATGTTGAAGGCTCTCGCCATGTTCCCTCCCCACAGATCCAGGACGGCCCTGCGCCGCAGCTGGAGCGGCAGCACCGCGGCGGGCGGCGCGGAAGGGGGCGTCAAGCTGCACGAGGGCTCCCA